AATATTTAAGACAAAATAAACATTTAACCATTGGTACACGAATCGTGTACCATACTGCGTTTCAGCGCCATTTGTAACAATGGACTCAAAGAACGAGGCTAGACATATTTCACAAGTCATGTCAAACGGTGACCCAATAGTCTTATCTGAAGAGCATGCGCAATAAATACTATCGGTGTATACAGACTAGAATAACCACACGCCAGAGATTCCCATTCGATTTAGACTTCTGGCGAATATCGCCGAACATAAATGATTAGAAATTACAGTAAAAACAGAAACGAATGAATGTAATCAGTTATTATACATTCATATTACATTATTATCAGTGCCGGACTGGTGGGCCGAAAGCCCACCTGTCAGGTCATTACATTGGCCAAAGCCGACACAAGTACGCGTCTCTCCCCCCCCCCCCCCCCAGGAAAACTTTGAAAATTGACAACCGCAAACCCATTTTCCAAGCATTTCAGACCAAAGCAGAAGAAGGCAAATTTTTGATTTCCTGATACAATTAGATAACAGAATTTAGATTAATTTGAGATTTTTTTCTCCTGTCCTCTCCTTCCTTCTTTCTTCCCCCCCCCCTCTCCTTTCTTTTTCCTCTTTTCTTTCTCTTTTTTCTTTATAGGCTTAGGCCCACTTTTGTTATATGAATTTAGGCCCACCTGTCACGGACAGTTGGACAGGTGGGCCTAGTCCGGCACTGATTATTATATGCGTTGCAACTTGCGATCCATTTGTGTCAATTTCTAGGTCCCAAATATTATAGATTCAGCTCCTTTAATTGTACAAGATCTCGTCATATATATTATTGTACTATAACACGGGATGTTTGTCTAGTGTTAATCAACTGAGCAGAGCAAATGAAAACATTGTCAAATATATTCCCTTGTTTAATTGGAACACGGAATGTTATCTAAGTGTTAATTAAAGGAGCTAAACCTCCAACCATAATATTTGAAATTAGAAATACGAATTATAATTCAATGTTGGTCCATTTCAATCAATATTGGTGTTGTTATACTTCGGTCAAAATATGAGATCATAGTATCCAATATTTAAGACACAATGACTGTTTTATAATCAGTATTCAATACATAAGTCTGTATTTTATGATTTCGGGTGCCATTAGTAATGAATATAGAAAACACATCCCGCAGGAAAATGCGAAAGTAATTAGTTATTGCTGGTTCACAAACGACGAAATAAATAATGTGTAGAATGGACTAAGCAGGCATGAATGAATGTCGTTTAAGTTGGACTGTTCGCGTAATTCACCAAACATAGTTGACTAGAAATCACAATACATGTAATTGTTTACAAATGGAATATAAATAACTTTACATATATTCATATTACATTAATATGTGCTTTTAGACCCATTTTCGTCTCTAAAGACTGGAGTCATACACCCTTTAATGATTTATAGACTATTTACAGAGGAAAAGCAAATTAAACAAGCCATCTTCGTGATACTTATAGGAAGCACTTTAAATTTCAAATATACCCATAAATCTTTCTATTTCAAATAAGGAAATGAGATAAGATTGTATTTAACATCCTATACTGTTCTGCTCCGAATGAAATTTTGAAGACGGCATACGCCATACAGTGTGCTATGGTGGAAATTTTGACCGGACACTGGCACTACGACCTACTCTTATAATGGATTCTAACTGCCAAGTGATGTTTTACATGCACGCCAAAGTGTAATTTGGAAATTGTTTCTTCGTTCCTTCTAAATGACTATATTATTATGTTGTGCTTTGCCAGCCTTCTTTCCTGCACCAATTGGAGCTCTTCATAAGCATATGTTGGAGGACTCAAAGAAAACTCATAAGGTTGAACAGGTGACCCTACACGTGGGGAATCGAATCCATGACACTTGACTCAGTGACAAATATTATGATCTAACGTGTACACATTAAACTTAAACCACTTAAGCCCCTGGTTGTGCAACTACAACAGTTGTCTCATTTGCTGTCTACAACATCACAACCTTATATTTTTCTAACACCATTTATTCAATAAATATTTACATAATATAAATACAGTATAAAAAAATCCCATTAATCTTGGATCCGCAAACAAGTCGATGTTTTGTTGTAAGCTTACACAGATCTCCCATCCATTGCCTACACCCGTGATTTGCAGCAAGAACACACAGTTCTCCCATTTATTGCCGGTACCACACTTCTTTTTAGTAAGAATACACAGTTCTCCCATTCATAGCCTACCGGTACCACACTTGTTTTAGTTAGAATACACATTTCTCCCATTCATAGCCTACCGGGGGGTTGGATGGCCGAATGGTTAGCTCGCGCGTGCTGTATCATAAGGCCTGTCATTGAGTCAACTTGCGTGGTTTCGAATCCCCGGTTGTACGTGACAAGGAGTTGGATCGACTGTCCAACCTCGTGGGTTTTCTCCGGGTCCTCCGGTTTCCTCCCACTGCTAAAGACCCCTACGCGCAAGCAAATTATTGAAATAAAATTAATAAAACATATGTTAGTCCCGAAATGACCTAGTTTGTGTCGAGTGGACGTTAAACCCCATCTCTCTCTCCCATTTATTGCCTACCGGTACCACACTTGTTTTAGTAAGAATACACAGTTCTCCCATTTATTGCCTACCGGTACCACACTTGTTTTAGTAAGAATACACAGTTCTCCCATTTATTGCCTACCGGTACCACACTTGTTTTAGTAAAAATACACAGTTCTCCCATTTATTGCCTACATGTACCAGTCACACTTGTTTTAGTAAGAATACACTGTTCTCCCATTTATTGCCTACCGGTACCATACTTGTTTTATACGAATACACAGATTGTCTGTGAATAAGAATACGCTTGCATCACAGGCACTTGGAGGAATTAAAATAAAACTTCTCACTACTGCTTGACTATATATTACCGTACATACAACGTTTCTCACTCGCCATGTTGTTTTCACGTGTTCAAGCAGTAATAAGAAGTTTTATTTTAATCCCTTCAAGTGCCTTGGCTTACAAAGTATTCATCAGAATTTTACTAGGATTTTTATTCTTCAATCGAATATATAATTGATCATTACATGAAACATTTCAATTTAATTCTTAGCTCTGGAAAAGTGGGACCAAGTAAATTTGAACAAGGTGTCCATAAAAATCTGTAAATCCATACTGGCCCAATCCTCCAAGTCATCTAATATAGAGTATCTTGCAGAATTGGGAATACATGTATTTCAAATATATTTAATAGTCACTACACCTAGCTGTGTACATTATTAGTTTGCAAAACCAGAAATTAAGAACCTATTTTAAATCCAAACCAACCATTGATGGTGTGCCTGATTATTTTAATGTGCCAGCAGTTAGAATGAAGGACCACAAGATTACTTTAACAAAATTTGATTCAGCACTCATAACCTATAGAGAGAAGTTGGTATAAAAACATTCCAGTAGAAATATGTCTTTGCCAAATGTGCTCATCGCAAGTCATAGAAAATGACGAACATTTTCTAATTTTCTGTGTACTGTATATAAATATATAATATGTATGTTTACTCCATTTTACTAGTCTCTGTTAGTACATGTACATATAGATGTATATATAGTTTGTTTTTTTCTATTGTTTTTTTTTTTATTATTAGCCATTGTCATTATGTTCATGTATTTAATGTTTTGTTTGTTTTTATATTTGTATGCTGCCTCTAATGGGGTGTAAGTTACAATAAAATCTTATCTTATCTTATTAGTTCTAATCATCTATTCTTAATTTAAAGAGATCATGCTTGATAACGACCAGTGAAATCTTGTCGAAAAGTTGAGTGTATATAATACAGTGATTGTAATCCATACAACTGTTGTGTTATATTAATTCAATCGCTAAATGCCATTCAAAATGCCATTACATGCACGTTAATATGCACACAGGATCTTGTGTATTTTGTCCCATCCGAACGACTAGACGAGTGGCTGCATAGGCAGTCAATATCCTGGACTGGTGCATGGTCTATCATCAGACTTCGAGAAGACACATTTACTTTGATCTTCCTAATTTTGTTTAATTGAAAATTGTGGATTTTCTACATTGTGACAGTCAATTGTTCACAAAAAAGTTTGCACAATGTTTTTAGGTTAGGTCGAATAGGTTAAAAAAGTAACCTCCATTTCATCTCTGCTAGTCTTCACTTCTTCATTCTCACAAGAAGACTATAAAAAAAAACATTTCTTTACAGACAAATTCACAATTTGAAAAGATGGAAAAGTTATTTTCATGCAATTGCCATAGTAAATTGTTATAAATGTTAAATAGGATCTCCACATTGCTTTAAAAAAATTGTTCTGATATAGGCGAACGGTTCTTTTTCTTTGTTCGGGTTGTGATCAATATGTGCTTGCATCATCGGCAGAATCTCTGTCGTCCATCATATCGGTATCTAACTCGTCATCGTTTGTATCACTTTCATCATCATCGTCACCCTCATCATCCTCATCTTCGTCATCTTCTTCGTCAAGATGTTCTGAAGTTTTGCCAATCGGGACGATGTTGTTGTCTTTTTGCTGAATTTGTTGAAGCCACGAGTTGTATTCGTGTTCTTGTTGTGCTAGTTCCGTTTCATCATCACATGGTTTGTCTACCGTAAACCAAGCACTGTCAGTTTCTCTTGGCAACAACGAAGGGAAGGGTGGCCCCGACATTTTGCAAATTTTATCTAATTTTTTTGTCCCAGTTTGTTTTCGTTTCAAAAATAAATCTCCATGCAGATGTTAGTCTGTGCAAGTAACAAAACACCGATAAATTTAATATCTTGTTTGTAGTATAACAATGTTACATGGGTCTATACAAAGAATGCGATATTAATAATATACAAAATAATTTTAACTGACGAGATATAACAGCAAAGGTGGCATTATATTCGGGGCCAGGAAAGGGGTTGTTCAAGAAAATAATTTTACTCTGCATGGGATGATTTGCTAGAAGGTTCTTCGTACTTTTTTTCAAACAAGAGTTGTACAAGGGAAGTAAATTAATAACAAGGCTGCTTTTATTTTTTTAGAGCTGATATATTTGCAAGAATTAACTATGAGTGGGTCGTTTCAGAGAACAGGAATTCCGTGGTAAGTTATAATAATGCGGCCACAAAATTACAAACAAGCATATTTCTACAGAAGCACCTTTGTTTTCTGTATTTTACAACACAAATCTGAATTGTGTTTAAAGAGTAATCTCCCTTTAATTGTTCCTTACGTTGGGAATGTTCGGAAATTTGCCATCTATTTTAGTATTTAGTTTTTACTACACAAACACAACTCGTAATTTACTCACACCAATCCGATGAGTTGGTCGCTATTTTTCTTTATCGTAATTCGTTCTACATTTTCTTACCGATGTTTTTAATGATGGGAGGCGCTGTCAAGTCGTTTGGATGGGACAAAAAATGTAGGCTACCCATCCATTGGTGTGCATGTAAAAGAATCCTTGACATTTGGAATTCAAAATAATTCAATCTGTTTCACAGAGGATTACCAAAATCTTCTAATATCTCTGGAAAAGATGGCTGCTTTCAACAGGTGACGTCGTGCATCATGCAGCATCAATCATTGGCTCAATTGTTTATATAATACGTTACTGGTTCGGGCAGAATGAAGCCTTTTACTCATTTTATTACCCATTTACACTAAATAGGAAAAAAATTTACCTACAAATACTTCAAACGTCTTTATTTATTTTTCTAATACATAAAAAAAATGTTTTAGAATTTAATTTGTCATAGGAAAAAAGTTAATATTTGGGGCTCATTAAGTCCCATCGATGTCATCCTTATCAGTGATTGTAGCAGCCTAGCGAATATTCACTGCTGATCAGTGTGAAAATGAGTGTGGGTCCTGGTGTATGTCCATCTTCCCAGTCAGTAGGAAGTTAAACCCTATTTCATTTCATTTCTAATGATGTAGGTCTACTGGATGCCAAGACATATCACCTAGGTGAGATCTCACGTCACATTAGCTCGCCCGTTGCTTTCCTTATAAGGATTTGTTAACTAGTATAATCCCATACGATTAGCATATAAATATGGCCATGGGCATAGACTCAATAAATGGAAATTGATGCTTTTAGTTTTAGGAAGTTTGATGCTCATTCTGTTTGGACGGCCATAGTAGGATTGGAAAGAAATATCTTGTAAAAAAGTAGCTGTTTTAATCTTTATTTCAATTGTTATATACTGTTAAAAAAAAAGTAGGAGATATTCAGAAACAATACAAAACTGTGGAAATGCACTGCTGTTTTTAGTAGAGGTAACCCGGCCAATTGCCTACACATGAACACGAACAGTTCATATGGGCGGCTTATCTGACGGCCCGATTTCAATCGCAAAGAGATACACTGTCAAAAGTGAAAATGGACGTTTTTGATTTTTGTCTTAATAATGAGTAATTGCTCCACCCATCCTAAGACATTCAGCAGTTCGTCGTGGCATACTCCTAATCAACCGTCCAATCATGATTTGGGGCAATCTGACCCACTCCTCTTGCAGTGCCACGGCCAATTCTTGCAGTGTTGTCGGTTGACGTTGACGAACACGTCTCCCGATCAAATTTAAACGTAACACACTAAAGCAAAGATACGCTAAACAGTAAATCTTATAGGAAAGCAAACATGGATATATAAACCAGCACACGGCAGTTTTCATCAACGCTTTATTGAAGTGTCAAATTTGACAATGAACCCCTCCCACGTGTATGGCGCTATTGCGTGTCGCATGTGCAGCTATGTTTTTTATCGTACCAACTTTAGTAATGATGATCGAGGTTTGGCCCAAAATTTAATCGCCAAATACTCAGTTCAGGGTGGATCAATTTGACTGAAATTTTCAGCATATTCCATTTACATTATCTAGTTTTTAACTATTATAGTGAGAACTACCAGCTTTTTATCAAATCTCCCATAATGTATCTTTAAGTTAAGCTTTTCACTAGTGACTTATGGATTAGGTTAATAGGAATAAGTCGAGACTTAGTTTATTATCGTAACAATGACAATCGAGCCTACACTGTTCTTCTAACGACGATATCTCGACTGAGTCAAGTAATTTGAATGAAATTTTCCCTTCGCATTATCTATTTTTTAACTATTATATGCGAGAGCTGTCAGCTCTTTATCTAATCTTAATCTTACATATAATTCACTTGATTTGATATTTGTTTATTTGGTGCAATGTCTATTTTCTGTCTTGTTCGTAGGTTTTTCTTGTAGATTTTTGTTTTACGTGTAGTGCGGTCCTCCTGCACTTAATATTTAAGGTAGTTATAGGCTAGTAACTTTTTGTAATCAATTACAAGACTTGCTCAAAGGAAATCCTTCGAACCATCCACTACTGTGGGTGGAGGTATGACGGAAGACATCAGCAGTGGAACCATTTCTAAAGGCTAGAGTGTGAGCAAGAGATTTCTACAACGTTTCAGTCCCTTGACATGACAGGCTAGGCAAGGTCCATCACATCAGGTTTTAGGATTTTGTCCATCCAATATGCTTCAGAAGGCACATGTCAAGTGGCGTCATTTAGGCAACTACATCACTGAGTGATGCTGCAAGCCAGGGGAGTTGGATGGCCGAATGGTTAGCAAGTGTGCACTGTGTCATAAGGTCTGTCATTGAGTCAACTGGCGTGGTTTCGATTCCCTGGTTGTACGTGACAAGGAGTAGGGTCGCCTGTCCAACCTTGTGGGTTTTCTCTGGGTCCTCCCGTTTCCTCCTACTGCTATAGACCCCTACGCGCAAGCGAATTATTGAAATAAAATTGAACCATGTGTTAGTCCCAAAATGACCTAGTTTGTGTCACATGGACCTTAAACCCCATCTCTCTCTCACAAAGAGTAAGGCCTGTTTAGAGTTTGGGCCAACAATAAGCAATTCGATTTGTTGGAAGGGTCTGGCAGACCGGATTTGGCCCGTGAGCTGTAGTCTGCCCACCACTGGTTTAGATTATAAGGTCTGCCATTAAGTCAAGTGGCATGATTTCAATCACAAGCATGTACATTATGTACTGCTAAAGACCCCTACATGCAAGCGGATTACATGTATTGAAATGAAATTTTAACACATTTTTAGTCCTGAAGTGACCTGGTTTGTGTCCAGTTGACATTAAACCCCATTTCTCTCTCTAAATGTTAATGATTTTGATCTTCAGTATCAGAATTCTCTGATGATAACAAATGAAACGGCAAAAATCAAATTAACACTCATTTTATTTCAAACATTTTTTACTTCTAAAAGTATTTAAATAACACTGGATGGTAAATATTGTTCCTATTATATACATGAGATGATAATTATCTCCATTAAAGTTCATATAACTTGGTCTTCTAGTCGTCGGTCATCATTTCGGTGCACTTGCCTGTCCTGCATCTGTAAGTGCAAAATGAAATAAATATGAGAAAGGAATGAGATGTAATGTCTTCTCCACATCATCGGGCTAATGAAGATAAAGTATAAAGTATACACCATGTCATGTGTTATGTAAATGCGATGAAGGAAAATTTACAAAGTCAACTCTTTTTCCAAGTGTCTGGGAATCTTTAACAAGCTGCAACGTTTCCTTGCGAGGCCTTCCCTGTCCTGAACTACCGTACATTGAACTAGATATGGGGAGGTGGAGACATTTATTATTTAGCATTTGGACACATCAAAAGAAAAAATAACATCAATGTCAGGCAACAAATACACTTATTGCTTTAGTTTCGTCACTTGAGTCAGTTATATAGATATAGAGGGATAACTCGTGTTTTCCTTTTGCATTCGTCACTTCCGATTGTTGAAACCAGCATTACGTAGCAATCATCTCTGTGTTAAAATTCTATTTGGAACATGTTTAACCAGTTCTATTAATGTCGGACACGTTTTTTTTTAACCTTGTTCTGATCGATAAGCTATTTATAGAATTGTGGTCACAGTATAGTTGCATGTGGCACATTACTATTACAGCACTCACCAAATTAATTATGGCGTTGACTGCTACAAAGCTGTAACTATCTCACTCAATAAAAATGGACAGTTTCATCTCGTGAAACGAAAAAAAATAAAAAAATTTCACAATGTTTAAAATGGAATTCCCCACTTTCTGAAGCAGATTTTCCTACATATATTTAATATCCTCACCTGCAACTGGTTTTCCTTCAACCCATTTGGTCACTTTGATGGCGGATACCAGTGGGACATCGGCAGGTCTGAATTCTGGTTTTAAACATTGTTTAACTATACGTGAACATATTGCTGAATACTCAATATAACTGAAACAAATGGTTGTAATTAGAAACAGGTATCGTATACATTTACTGGCATTGGGTGGCTGAATGGTTTAACGCATAAGATCTGTCAATGAGTCCAGTGGAGTGGTTTAGATTCCCCGCTTATACGTGACAAGGAGTAGAGTTGCCTGTCTAACCTTGTGGGTTTCTTTTACTAAAATGTGAACTATTCCGAATGGTCATAGTCATAATCGTCATGTGCTACAAAGTACAAACCGAAGTTGACAAGTAGGCCCATAGAGTAAACCAAGAACCAACCATCTTGGAACTGTGACATCACATCAACTTGTTTGAAGTCTGTCTGTCAACCCGCTATTGTTCAAAGAACAGGCATTCTGAGTTTTATATCGATCATACTCACATTGGCGGAACATTTTTTGAAGGGCATAGTATAATTACTACATCAGTCATCATAGAAAGTTCCTGGTTAAAAAATGACATTGCAAATGCAAAAACATCTTCCCTGGTTCTATCTGCCATGAGAAGTGACTATTACATTTGCCTAGGGTGTCTAATTAATGAACAGTAATGAGTAATGTTGTTTCATTTTCAATCCCCATACGGTACCGACATCATACACTTCAATCTGCAGTTTTAACTCTGGCGTCTGTGGTCAGCCGGGGCGGACGGATGGCCCATTGGTTTAACACATGCACGTTAGATCAATAGGTCTGCCAGTCAAATGGCATGGTTTTGATTCCTTGCCTTTACATTAGGCTACATTATGTGACAAAGATCGCCTGTCCAACCTCATAAATAGGTTTTATCCGATTCCTTCTTCCACCTCTGCTGGGGCCCTACGGTACGACCCGAAATGACCTAGTTTGTGTCGAGTGAACGTAAAATCTGACTTCTGTCTCTCTCGTGATCAACTATCTTAACAGATAATCTCAGCCATTCCATTCATTCATTCATATTCATGTGACATGAATTATTGAATAATATCAATATGCAAATAATGAAATAAATACAAGACAAGAACTTGTTTTGTAATTGTAAGAACTCAACATGGACGAGTGAAGGACAGCGAGTCCTCGAGGAGTCGGACACTTCGAATTATATTGAGAAAGTGATATAGACAAACTGAATCAAAACTTGAATTATTATACGTACTTCATTCCTACTTGTCTCCAAAACGTAGACATTTTTGACCGAAAGAGGATCTACCGACACGCCGAAAAAGTAAATGGTGTTCTGAAAAGAAAGCTGTTTCTTTACAAAGCCGTCAAGGTCATAGTTTCGTATCTGAAAATTGGAGTTGTCTCCCATTAACTATACAAATGTTCACACACACGATAAATTATTCGGATTTTTATGATAGAAAAAAAAAAATACTAGGCCAACTTTCAAATATATTAATTAATTGATTAATAATTTTACATGGAAAATAAGTTATTTATCTAGTGACGGAGCAAAAAAAAAAAAGAGAATTAGAAATGAAATGAAATGTCAAATGGCCTAAAAAAAAAAGCAACCTACACTGCTCCCTTAAAGTCCTTGACAATATCCTCCTACACATCCATCAGCATAGGCCTACAATGTAGGGAATTTTCCCCCGAACAGCTGCACTACAGAGCTATGGTCTACTGTGGTTCGATTCCATCTGTCAAGCCAAGCGTTCTTTTACGAGCAGGCCGTGAACTCAAGATGTCTGGGGGTTTTTTTTGTCCCATCCGAACGACTATAGACAATACATTTATTTTTGTCCTAAGATTTTTGAACAAAGCAGGGGGAATGTTAAAATGAATTTGTCCGACTGTCTATCAAACGTTTGGAATGCAATAACTCTTATTGAGGGAGAGCAGATAGATGGGGAGAAACGGCGAGATGGGGCACGGTGGGACAAAGCCTATAACTTTTTTTTTGTATGAGCGTCTTAAAGGAGCTAAATTGCTAACATTTGGGACCTAGAAATTGACAAAAGTGGGTCGCAACGCATATAATACTGTAATATGAATGTATATAAACTGATTTACATTCAATGGTTTCCGTTTTTACTCCAATTTCAAATCAGTTATGTTCGGCGAAATAAGCCAGCAGTCTCAATCGAGTGCAAATTTCTAGCGTCTGGTTATTCCAGTCTACATACGCCGTTCGATTTGGTGCAATGTGTCTAGCCTCGTCCCTCGAGTCTCTTTTTACAACTGGGGCTGAAGCGCATTATGGTACACGATTCGTGTACTAATGGTAAAATGTTTATTTTGTCTTAAATATTGGATATCAAAAGCCCATCTTATTCCGGTAAGATCACAACATCAATGTTGATTTAATTTGACAAATAAATCGTGTTTTTAATGTCGAAGACTTTGGATGATATTGAGTTAGAGACTTGGCTACTTTAACACGAATATATTAATGAAAGGAAGATAACTCTTATATCTTTCTTCCCTGTTTTTGACATGGACATACCTTTGTGTTAAAACTGCTGTTTGTCAAAAGTACAAATTTTGATTACTGCATTTTGTGAATTTTTCTTATCAATAGTTCAACTACTGGTATATGTACTGTCCTACACTAAACCATCAATTTCTTTTCAAATCCATAACATTTTTATAGCCCTATCTTTAATTATTACACTTTTAGAAACAGAAACGGAAAAATATAGATTTTCGCATTCTTGTGTAAAATAATAGCTTGTCCAACTGTGCCCCACCTGGTGTCTAAATCTGGGGTTCATTTGCACAATTAATTTTAACTTTTCTTTTCACATTTCCTGAATTATATTTATGCATGCTATACTAGTCCTTTTACATGTTGCAAGAAATCCTGGTTTCTCTTATAAATTTGAGTAGAACATCAAATATGTCAAAATGTCCAACTGTACCCCAGCCTCCCCATTACAATACCTTGATTAAATTAAATGGTGAACATTGTTTACGTAGATTAAGCAGACTGACAAACAATTTAATTGCTAGATGTTTTATAAAAAGATAACTGTGCAACTGATGTCATCTCTTAATATTGTGGTTTAAGGCAGAGGACGACTGCAGCCTCATTGTTGGTAATGGTATGTCAGGGCATGGCTGCCATGGCAACACTGTTGTACTTTCTTGGAAATGGAATGGGGTTGAACGACCTACTGTTATGCTCTGACTGGGCTAATGATGATGGGCAAAGCCGTACAGTGTGCTTTGAGGAAAATTTTGTCTAGAGAGCGGCGCTGCATCAGTCTCTTATATCAAATTCCAACTGCTAAGGGACCTTTTAAGTGCACGGCAAGTCGGCAATGTGTACACAGGACCTCCATCTTAAGTCTCATCCCAACGACTATATAAGTTGTCCCTTGCCAATGAACTTTCTCGGCCAAGACTGGAATCGAACACATACCTCTGTGTTAATGAACCAACGTCTTACTCACTAAGCCACAGCGGCTCACCCGTACTTTCATATTTTTATTATTCTTATTACAGTGGTAATCCACGTCGCTATGATTCTGGTGATATAACAAAGATGGTGCCAGTGTTCAGTTCCAGGAAGAGACGTGTAGATGACGGGCCTGACGAAGATATAGAAACAGAAGGAGAAAGACATTTACAGACTTTGGCCAAGAAACAACTAAAGACCAACATATCTTTAGATCAGTGAGTTCAAAATTCTTACGGTTTCAAGCAGGGAACCACCGTGGTGTGCTGAGTACACATACTACACTTATGCTGTCTGTCTACAATTAGCTCAGGTTGAGAACAGACAATAAGCTAGTTGACCAACATTTTAAGTCCTAAATCAACAATTTTAGTCGAAAACACAAGTATATTTCTAGTATCTATTCTGCTTCTATTTAATGGAATTGAAGAGGTTTAATTAGTTTTTTTGTGTACCGTCATAACAGATGTGAACAGGACCGCATTACAAAAAAATTATATTTACTTTTGGATATGGTGGCCATTCACGGCAGAAATCTATTCTCGAAGTAGTCTACAGTAGATAGTTGCCTGTGTGGAGAATGGTGAGTACTACAGTGTGAACCAGAAGCTCCCTGTTCGATCCTGGTGTTTCGCTGGTAAAGTTCCTTAGGGTATTGCAGTCTGGTTTCCCTTTGTTGGGCGGAAGGCCTGACAAGGGGATGAATCTGTTATTGTACAGGTTGTCATGCATAAGTCGAAATAGGACTTTTTTCTCACTGTTTCAATGCGCCTGTTGGATTGCAAATACTAAATAGTGCCTCTTTAAACCTCAATTCTCTCTCTCTCTCACCAAATGACATCTGATATTAATAAGATCACACTGTAATATAGTTTCTGTTCCTTTCAGACAGTTTTCTCAGCACCGGGAATTTTCAGGAACCAGTGCCTTCAAACCATCAGTGGAATCACTTTCAGGAATTGTTAATCTATCAGAATATCAACAACTAAGTGAAACCGATGCACGAGTAGAAGAACTTGGACATTTTGGTTTGACGAAGGAAGAAATGAAACTTCGGCTGAAATATGATACAAGTGTTAAAGATACAGTGAGTTATTCCTCTAACACATCTTAAAATCCAATATGCATTTACATTAAACACAATGTTACCATAATAATGATAGTGTATACCAGCCAATTATGACATGGATCTTTAAATGTATTTTAAAAACTAGACAATTGAAATACAAATCACGAAAACCAAGTTGAAAGAGCAATCAAGGAGTCGGTCCAGGTCATCAACAAACCTCTGTATGCTACTGCATGATGGGAATTGAATTGAATGGGGTTTCCAGGGAGGGGGTTTAATATAGGCTATGCCTGTTTGTTCCACCAATCCCAATTCTGTTTAACCACATACTATTCTCTACCAATGGGACTATTATGAAGACTGGCAGCAGATGCATGTCCATACGGGTGTACCCTCCCCATGCTCATGCATGGCATATTATCCTACATTCATCAAAATAACGCTGGACAAAAATATGTGCAAAGCATTACCACAGTTTGAGCCTTACTCCACTCTAATCCTATACATGTTTAAATATAAATGAACAGAAATATTGACTCAGCTAGTGCATCTGGTTTCATTAAATTCTCTCATAACCTCCCAGACCTCACGCCAAACTTGACTTTGTTTCCACCTCCCCCCCCACCCACTCCAACCGCGCTTAAAATCCTGCGTCGAGGGTAATTTATTCCTTGGACATCCTGGAGAAGCTACTGAATAATGTATGTATTTGTTATTGTTACAGGAGCTGCAGTGGCTCAGTGAGTAAGATGTTGGATTGATAACCTACCACATTTCATTTTACTTGTTATTATTACAGGAAACAATGGTATCAAGGTTCAGTGTAAATCCACAAGTAGAGAAGGAGCGACTGGACGCAATAAACAGAAAAATACACCAGAAAACGTCTGCTTTTAAAACGTCTGATAATTTCGCAGACATCCGCCATGTTACTCGTCATGAAATAGACCTGGAACGGGCAATAAGTTCCACCAATCAAGATGGACAAAAAATAAGTAACTTTCTCATCAAGCAGAAGGAATACGAGAAAAGTAACCCTTTAAGTATGGTGCCTGATCTTATGACAGAAATAGACTCTAAAATAAAAGACCAAATTCGCGAGAAAAGAAAAAAACAAAAACTCTTAAGAAAAAAATCAAAAGTAGACAAGTCACATGGTAGTCAAACTTTAGATTCAGACCAGAAAAGTTCAATTTGTGTACATCAATATAACAGTGAAAAAGAAAGTCCAAATATTTTGTGTGATGAAGAAATTAGCTCTGAAAGTGGGGATGATGTTTTCATTGGTCCCCTTCCAAAACCAGTACCAGAACAGACAGGACGTAAAGAGATTCGCGACAATGTTAAACCTATACCCGAACAGTGTATTATAAGCAATAGACTCAGTGTAGACAATATTATTCAAATACCCAAGTTTGAGAATTATACTCCAGGTGAAATAAACAATGTGAGTATATTATAGGTGTTATAGGGCTTTGGGGGGTGGGAGGGAATGCTGTAATACGGTCTGTCATTGAGTCATATGGCATGGTTTTGTTTTGTATGTTTGTGCATTTGTTTCTCCGGGTCCTCTGGTTTCCTCCCACTGCTAAAGTGAATTATTGAATTAAAAATTAATTATTTGTTAGTCCCGAAATGATCTAGGTTGTGATGAGTAGACGTACCTGATATTTTAAACTATGTATTATTAACATCAATGAAAACACTGACGAAATAGAAATTTGTGTCAGAACAAATGACAGATACCCGAGGGATTCTGCTAGACAAGCTCAGAATTTGTGCTGACCAAAGTTTTGCATTGCCCCTATCCCCGTTATCTGTCGTGATATTTATGCTGTTTCATTGCAGGTTTTATATCTTAAAAATCTCCATAGTAACGTGACACAGCAAGATCTTATTGCCTTATTTGGACGGTTTGAGCAGAAAGATGAACCAAGTATTGTTTATAAATTGATGTCAGGGCGAATGAGGGGGCAGGCTTTCATCACATTTTCTGGTAAGATATCATTCAATCTCATTATTACATTTTCTTGGTAAGATATCATGCTATCTCGTTATTACATTTCATTGGTAAGATATCATGTAATCTCATTATTACATTTCATTGGTAACATATCATGCAATCTCATTGTTACATTTCATTGGTAACATATCATGTAATCACGTTATTACATCATGGGATCCAGTCAGCACACGCTATATGGTGAATGAAATGAAATTTTGCCTGGACAACCGTGCTACAGCCTACGCTTTATTTCATATTCCAACTATCATGGATTCTTATATGTGCACAGGACCTTAGTTTTTTAATCAATCAGAACAACTATACATTTTGCCATGCCAGGCCCTCCGTCCTTTACCACTGACAAGGGGAAACCAGAGAATCATGATGAACTTTTTCAGCCACACGGATCGAACACGGAACCTCTAGGTTAGCAAGCCAACATCTGTTACTCACTGAGCCACCGTGGCTTCCACACTACCTGGTGTATTTTAAAACTCTTTAAGGAATACAGAAGGACCTTGTTTGACATTTTAAAATTGTGAATGCGAGACAAGTTCTCCATTGAATTTTGTAAAAGATGGTGAGATTGTTCATTTTAAAATTGTGAATGCGAGACAAGTTCTCCATTGAATTTTGTAAAAGTTGGTGAGATTGTTCAATTTGACATAGGGTAGATCCTAAATCATAAAGTTATCACCTCAGAAGTTTCAAACCAGTTGTGTGGATTTAAATTTTGGATCACATTTTAACTTTGAAAGCTTGTGAATGTAATATAGACAAGCTATCATTGAAATCTTTTGTTTGTTTTGATAACCTGTAATATTTGTTTTAATAGATCCCTTTCAATTCAAATGCATTTTGTGTAGTTTTTTTCTGTTCAATTTTTTACTTTGTTATAGATTTTTTAAAACTTACTATTGTGGAATTTGTTGACAGTGATTTAAAATTTAGCACAGATGACTTTGCTACTGGTGGGTAGGCCTACATAAGGGAGACCAGACAAGCTCCTATATTCTTTTTGATAAAAACGTACATAGTTTTATATAACTTTGCTCCTATATTTTTTTTGACAAAAAAAGTATATAGCTTTATATAACTTTACATATTTATTTTTGTAGATAAAACTATTTCGAAAGAGGCCCTCGAACTGGTGAATGGATATCACCTATACGGAAAACCAATCATAATACAATATGGAAATAAACAATAACTCGTATATAAATCTTTATAAATAAAATCAAAGATTTCTGTTGTGTATGTACATGTATGTATGTGTGTTCACCCATCATGCTTTGTCGTCGCGATCCACCCCCACATGTGGTATCTAATTAACCAGTATGACAACATTAATGTTTTGGACCATCAAATTGGGGCCCCAGGGCGAATTTGGGCCCTGCCTAATTTGGGCCCCAGGCAAAGCCAGGTATCCTGCTTGTATTTAATAAATAGAAAACATATTTTTGTAAATTTGTATTCTGTTGTTCCTTGTGCACAGTGTTGTGGTTTTGATCCCAAGGTTGTACGTGACAAATGAAAGGCCGTCTGCTTCACCACATGGGCTTTCTCCAGGTCCTCTGGTTCCCTCCCACAGAATTATTGAAAATTGTATGATGTATATGTTAGTCTCGAAATGACCTAGTTTGTGTCAATTGGATGTTAAACCCCATCTTGATTTTAGTGTTCCATCTGCTAATGTGTCAAAATGAAGGAACTTTACAGGTTTTTGGTGCCAATATTGGTCTTAATATTAATTACAAACTGTGATGTAGAGATAAAGGGAGAGTTTAGACCATGATCTTGATGTCCATCTTTCCTGCACCAACCTGGTTAATGCAGACTGGCATAAACCATACAATATGCAACATGCATGAAGATAATTTTACCCAAGACAGCAGGAGCACTAGGGCCTACCCGATCAAAAATGTGAAACTACGTCATCATCGGCCTTTTTGTAAATAAGTGCAGATAATTTTCACATTGTTTTTTTTTTCAAGTTGCGAAACAAAAAGATGAAATTAGTCAAGTATCCAACCAGACCGGGTTTAGACAGTGTGGTCTGTATCCAATAGGCATTTACGTAGTTACTGCCCCTATATTTGCTCTTCAAAGTTGAGGCGTATAAGGTATGTGTATTACAGGTACCAAACGGAAAGTAGACAGATTTTGAAGCCATTTAATTATTGAGGGGTTTTTATTCTGAAGAGAAGGTAATCGATGTATTTTAGCAAATTGTGTGGATAGTTCGAAGTATTTTCTAATAAATAGGTCCACTGTCATTTGTCAATATCAAGTAGGCGTACTTGTCTTATGTCGTACGTATCCGTTGTTCAATCATTTGAATCAATGAATCATCAATGACGCGTCTTCTGTCTTTATTAGTCTTACTCCAGCCACAGTACTGAGTAGGCCTACAGTAATGTGACAGTTTTTTTAGTTAAATGACTACAAAAACGTTACTTGCCTATGTAATGTAGCTCCCTTAAAGGGACAATAACACTCTTGCTCGCTGGCTTGAAAGCTCCAGAAAATAAATAATATCTCTAAGTACTAGATGTTTAAGTGTCCTACATGTTGTGTAAATTATCCATTACATCCTATTTTACTTGTCCAGAGGGTTCGAAAATATTTTTAAATCGAAGTTTCATTTGAAATGGTTTACGTTAGACGTTTCAAACCATTATCTTGAATTTTTTAAAATTTTTAAATAAGGTGTGTTAAGATGAAATTTGTATCATCAATTAATTGAAATATTCTAAAATAGTACAATTTGTTGACCAGAATAAAGATTGGGACATATTATTCAGTTACAACAAGACTGGTATTGAGCCTTTAATTTCCACATTTATAAACTGACTCCTAACTCAGTAACTGTTAATTGTACACAGCACAGGGTGCACAATTTCACTTTTGAACCACTAGCCCATGGGCAGATGTCATGACAAAATTTGCTCGCCCTACAGAAAAATACACATGCCCTGAATATAAAAATAAAGTTGTTTTGTTTTTAATTTATTTTAATGACTATAAACATAAAAATGATAACAAAAGTAACAAATATTTAAGCATCCAAATGTTCCAATACTGGCTCAACCTATCCATATTATAATCAATAATGCATTGGATGTTATAATTGTAATAGACAGCAATAACCAAAAACAGAGGGATAAAAAGGAAAAAAATATCAGAAAAAGTTTGTGTTGTTCTATCGGTCGTTTTTATAGCTACGGGTTCAATTTACCCTTGCAAACTCGTTTTTTCTCATTCAAGCGTATGCCGTATTGAAAATCAAATATTACAATACCAGAATACTAAATTAAACTATACAATATGAGTGCTGTCTCAAAAAATGCCCATTAACTAAGTCAAATAAATAGAAATAGCGTTTTTTCGGATCATGTGATTTACGGACCACTATGACACAATGTCATTCAGTCTACATTTCTGCCTACATAAAGTATATTTTAATCAGAAAATCAATGATTCCTTTGGAAAATCAAAGTGTGGGTATACATAATTCGTGAAACAGGGATTATTCTAACAGTATTATTATGGCGTTTGCAATCTTCATGGAATGAATACTTGGGAGTTAATAACAGTATTTATTGCTGTTTATTTATCATTAAACAATAAAAAGCCGTGAATGACAATAAAAGGAAGACATATTTTCACAAAATACATAGAGAGAAAAAAAAATTGCGGTATCTTCGGTAAGGAATGTTGTCATTCAACAATACTCGTTAATTTTAGAAAAGTTATTTTTAGTACCGGTACCGGAAGTTATGTATTACCGGTAAAATTATCGTGTGCTTAGTAAATTATTCTGATTGGAGTTAGTCTATTCGGCTATTATTATTGCGCGGACTGGAACTAAAATGCTTTAAATAATCAAAGTATTGTTCAATTTCTGTCCAACCCAAAAATTAACCTGTCCCTGGCGTCGGGCGATGGGAATTGTGCACCGCTGCTAAACATATAATAAACCAATTCGCATTGAAATAAAGCCTTACCGCATAGGCCTAATTAATATTATATGATTTGATGAAACCCAACTGCTACGCGAAATTTCACTTCTATCCAACTTGAAATATCCACCCAGCCAGATATAGCATGCACACTCTGTCTCACGTAATCATACATGTACGTCACTTTCCATATACCGCTTCCGGTATGGCTTTCATAGTAATAAAGCATAGTAACTAACAATGCCCTTATAAGGGAAGCGATGGGTGGGGTTAACGCATGCGATATTTGGCAAGATTTCACCTGCATGAGTGGTGTCATTACCACCAAGAAAATCTTTTCGGTAACTATTTCATTTAGTGCTCCAGTCTTCACTATTTGTGATAGCATTACTTATTTCAATACAAACTGTGATCATTGACAAGTGTGCGTTTGAACCTGTTGGCCTATTAGACTGTATCAATTATAGTGCTAAACACAGTTTAGCGCGACAGTATTGTAGCTAATCCGCTACAGTGCTCATTTTGTTTAGGTTGGTCTATTTGTTTAGATGTTACTTTTTGTCATATCTCTTCAGCTACACACTAAGTCTTTGAAAAGGCAAGAAATAATTTAGGTTGTAAATATACATGTAGATAAAATCTGCAGTCTTTTTACTGGATTTTGCACTGATAAGATTCTTGAAGATTATTCAGCGTACAATTTAATTAACAACCATGTGGGAAATTGTCAATGTACAGTACAGTGCCCAATCAATCTCTGGTTATTTTATTAAAGGGTGTATGGCTTTATTCTTTAGAACCTTTTAAGATGGGTTCCCAGAAAAGTATTTATCGGGTGGTTATTTCCAATAAAAGTATGGCAATTTTGGTACATATGGAAAGTAGAGATATCCAATCTTACTAGAAAAATACTGGATTCCCCGAAAAACACTCATGCAGTGTATACAGGACAAAAATGTAAGGGTTCCCCTAATCAACAGCCCGACGATTAAGAATTTCTGCACGCGTAATGTCAAAGGTCACACGCGAACATTGAGCGCTTGATGTACAGGTTGATAAACTTCATGAAGAGTTAGACTTACAACACTTTCTGAGATAAAAATGACAGAAAAAGACGCGGGTAGTGGATAATCCGAGAATTTAATTAGGATTCGATATTTGTAATAAATAGTAAACGATTAAAAACAACATCGTCTTATGTATGCAATGAATTCGCCTCTGATTTCCAAGACGTGACGTAAACATGACCTGGTTTGATCAAATTTTAATAGCAGGGAATTCCTTCGCAATTACAGTGTTTGAGAAGGATTTGAAGCATAATTATGACAAATTAATTAGTTTTAATATGTTTTTAGTCCATATATACCATAAAATCACTCAGTTTGTACGCGGGAACCCATCTTTAAAATGGACAGAGATTGGTTTAAATTTTAAAAAGCTCACATCAATGTAATATATGAGTGTGTATATAAAGTAAAACATGATTTTACATCCCATTAAAAGTAAAGAACGCTGGGTACCAGTTTAAGACATCATTACGAGGAAGGTGTTTTAGACTGAGTTAATTTTATAAATTTTTCAACTCTTGTTTAATGTAGGTTATCTAAGTATATGATTGAAGACTACACTGGTGTATAACAGAATGGAGATATCTCAGTTGTTTGGATTGATATCAGCATCCTCCTTGTTTATATACTCCTCCATATTTCTTCTATCATGGGCAGTTTACAAAATGTTCTTGTATCCATATCTCTCACCTCTAAATAAGGTAAGTCATGAACTCAACAAGATAATCCCCTGACATGTGGGGGGTAGGCGAATAGTTTAATGCATGCCTGTTAGATCACAATGTCTGTCTTTGAGTAAAGTGGTGTGGTTTCGAACCCATGCTTGTACATTACAAGGAGTAGCATTGTCTGTCCAACATTGTGGATTTTCTTGGTTTCCTCCCAATATTAAAGATCTCTATGTGCACGCAAATTGTTGAAATTAAATTGTACCATACATTAAACTTGAATTGATCTAGTTTGTGTTCAGTGGATGTTAAACCCCAGCGCTGAAATGAAATGGGTTTCAATGTCCTTCTTTTCTGCACTGACTGGGCTAATGAAGATGGTCATATGCCATACAGTGAGCTATGAGGGAAATTCTGCCCAGACAGCGGCACTACTGCCTGCTCTTACATGTTTTAACGAATTCAAACTGTCAGGGGTTATTTTAAGTGCACACACATGTGTACACAGGACCTTGTCTTTTTCGCACAATCCGAACGACTAGAAACTGTTCCTTGCCAGATCTTCCGTCCTGCACACTGTCAAGGAGAAACTTTCTCGTCCAAAACTGGCGGCAAACCCAAGACCTGGTTAGTGAGTCAGCGTCTTACTGAGTCTTTGAGGCTCCCTTCCCGCTGGAGAACTTACCTGTCAACCAGTTTAAATTCTATGAAATGTAAAACCATCAAATATATATGTATTTAAAGCTAGAAATTGTTATAATCTTAGGATAAAAGATCTTGCTAAGTGATCCAAAATATGTCCAATACGGATAGGGTGGCAAAATATTGGAGCAGCAGTTGCTTAGTGAGAAAGATGTTGGCTCGCTAGACTGGAGGTCACTGGTTCACTACTGGTGTTGGCCGATAAAGTACATGGGATTTTCCTGCACGGTTCCCCTTGTCAGTGGTGTAGGACAAAGGGACTCAGAAGGGCAGTTGTGTAGTCTTTCTAATGGGATGAAAAACTGAGGTACTGTGTACACTTGGCATGCACATAAAAGAACTTTTAAGCAGTGGAATTCGATATACGAACAGGCCATAGTGCTGCTGTCTGGGCAAAATTTTTCAGATGGCATATGCCTGTCTTCATTAGCCAAGATAGACAATCTGATTTCTGACAATAAATTACTCAACCGGACCGTTATTTTGTTTACAGATTCCAAGTAAACGTAATGCAAGTTTTTTGTTTGGAAATATGAAAGAGATCTTTGCAGGCGAGGCCATTGATGTTTACATAAGGTAAATATAAATTGAATTTTTTGTGTGTCAGAATTCTTTATCTGTGGGAATTGCTGTGTGTTATGAGGGAGATTTTGCCCAGACAGCATTTGAATTTCAACTGTGAAAATGAATAGAAATGAAATATGGTTTAACGCCCTACTGTTCTGCTCCGACTGGGCTAATGAAAACGGCCAATTGTAAAAGGTTCATATAATTCGAACGACTAGATGTTGTTCCTTGCAAGGCCGTCAGTCTTGCACCACTGACAAGGGGAAGCCAACCCAGAAAATCCACAGGAATTTCCTCGACCAACACTGAGATCTCCTGTCTAGCAAGCCTCCTCTACTCCCTCCCTGACAAGAAAGAACAAGGCTTGAAATTGAACAAATACTTTAAATTGCAGATGGATCGAAGATCTAAATTCTTCAATAATAAGATATTATCACCTGTTTGGAAAAGAAAGGTTAGTTGTAGCTGATGCCGACGCCATGAAACAAATAATGGTAACCAATGGTAAAAACTACGTCAAACCAACTTTTCTCTTTGGGTAAAAAACTTTTATTATATTGAATCTCTCAGTAATACTAACTAGACAGATAAAAGTCTATTAGTCAGGTCAGTTGGATAGGTTGGAAATTCCCGGTGATTGGTAGAAACTAATGTCAGGTCGGTTGGAAAGGCTGGAAATTTCAGAGCTTTTCCGAGGATACATGTATATATAGATGTTAGGTAGCAATTTTTACATTTACCGTTGAGCACGTGGAGAGCTAGATATTGTTATTACAGGAATCCCTTGTAAATAAATACCTTATAAACAAGTTTTTGGTGGCATACTTCTTTCCTTGGCTATGTTAATGTTTATGTGAACATTATAAGAATTCTTGATAGATGAATTTTCTGTATGGAATTTACCCACTTTATTGTCTATTTCCAACACTGAGACAAACAATCTTGTCACTATATATGTAAAAAAGATAAGTGGATCTTGGGAATACCGTTGGGGCAGGAAGGAAACACGAAAAAGTAATTCCCAGGCAGTACACTAAACAAGACTGTGCCCTGTATTTAAACTTCGAATTTTCTGTAAGTTTGTTGCATGGGGTATTTTTTGTTATTTGATATGTGGATTATCTATTCATTAAAGACTGTTTCTATGTACATGTATCTGTTTATTATATATCAGTTTATTAAAGACTGTTTCTATGTATCTGTTTACATACAGTGGACTCGGTCACATCCGACATCGTGCGGGATCGTTACAATAATTCGGATCACACAGCGTTTCGGAATACCGAGTTTTCTCCAAAACCGGAAATACTGTAACTTCGAAAACCGGAAGTATTTTTATATTGTAGCTTCGAATCACCAGAATGCTATTCCCTTTATAAATGATAAACTTTTCTGTACTTTCAAAATTTTATTATATTAAATAATTAACAATAACAATGCATGCGTACAATATATTCATAAATCGTTTACATGTAATATCAATGCATGCGTACAATATATTTATAAATATCAATGCATGTAATCGTTTAAAGTAGTTTGCTTAGTTAAGATTACCAGAAGCATATCGTAAGGCGGAGTCCTGGGCAACATCTTCTAACAAATGAATTGTTGCGATCATCTTTTCGTCCTTAATCTGTGCGAAGTGTTGAGCATGCGTAGGAATTTTGAATAGGTCAAGTCTGTCGTTAATGTATATTCTTCATCGTCCCCGTCTTCAATCAATTGTCATTTATAATTTGTCGTTCTATGTCCAGTTTTTCAAGCCAATCAAAGTAAACGGCACCTGTCATCCAAGCTTTGCGATTGACTGGCAGGTAGATCTTGTCCACTCCCTTAAAACAACTCGGGTTCACTGCTTTACCGATCAAAGTAATCAACACAGTTTTAATCTCACCGATAATTGATTGGTGATTACTTGTTAATCTTTTCCGACTTCACACCCATTGAGTTTAATCTCACCGATAATTGGATGCTTCACACCCACCGTTTGAAGTACGGATTATACGGTGTCGATTCAATGGAAATTATGTGACGGGATGGCTGATTGATTTCGGAATCCGGAACATACAGAATTCGGATTTACCAGCGATTTTTGGGCTGAAGTAATAAAGAAATAAATCGGGACATGAAAATCATACGGGATGTCACAGCAATCCGGAGTGATCAGAGATCGGATGTGACAGAGTCCACTGTATATATCTGTTTATTAAAGACTGTTTCTGTGTATCTGTTTATTAAAGACTGTTTCTGTTTGTATCTGTTTATTAAGGACTGTTCTATGTAGCTGTTTATTATCTCTCTATTTATTAAAGACTGTTTCTATGTATCTGTTTCTATATATATCTGTTTATTAAAGACTGTTTCTACGTGTCTGTTATTAAAGACTTTTTCTATGTATCTGTTCATTATGTATCTGTTTATTAAAGACTATTTTCATCTATTAAAGATTATTTATAAGAGTAGCAGGCTATGGGTTGGTTAGTCTGAATGGAAAGGAACATCTTACTCAGAGGAAATTATGTACTGGTGCTTTTAAAATAGCAGTCATAAAAAGTAAGTTCTATCTGTTGTGTATGTATGTGTTTAGTTTGTCATTTATCAATCTGTATGTTCATTTATAATTTATTGTTAACAATCTACAGGTCCAAGATTTTCGATTGCAAATTACTGATTTATCTCTCCCACTTACATACAGACTTACGAAATCTTATGTAGGGTAGAGTTTGTGATGGAATATTTCAGAACCTTTATTGAATTTCAAATTTTTGGATCTTAGATTTTTAGCATTTTTCGCAGATTTATCTTACAATGATTTTAGCTTTTCTTCCGCGGGATTGTATTAGGGGCTCCAGTGTTTCTTTCTATATTCATTGTGAAGATTTATTCTATTGGTGAATAGATACATGCCTCTTCAGTCATTGTTTTTTATATTTGGTAGGTGTTCGCCCCTGTTGTAATTTCAGTAGCATACACAAGAAGTTTGATTTTCCAACTACTCCTTATCAAAATCCATCTGTCAAATTTGTTCTGTTGTGCCATCAGAACAACTATGCTGTTCCTTGCCAGGCCCTCTTTTTGCGGTATAGACAAGGCAAAACCAGGCTGGAAAATCTGCTGTCTAATGTTATTTAGATTTCCAACTGTCTGAAGATCTGTAACATGGTTGGTTTTAATTCACCGATAGTACGTGACAAGGATTAGGGTCGTCTGTCCAATCTTGTGGTTTTCTTCCGGGTCCTCCGGATTCCTCCGACCGCTAAAGATCCCTACGCGCAAGCGAATTATTGAAATAAAATTGAACCATATGTTAGTCCCAAAATGACCTAGTTAGACTAAAATGTCATGCTGAAAGACATAACCCTTTACAATGACGTAATTAAATGATTTATCTAACATGCAGTAAATTCATTTGTTTAGATATGTTGCCGAGTTTTCAAAGACATGCCGAGGAATTGATTGATAACTGGAGAAAACAAATTGAGAAGGGAGATAATATATTAAAAGTTCACCATGATCTTCATAATGTGGTATGTTTCATCTAATGTTCATCTTATAAGGAGAAATATCAGTGAAAAAAATAAAAATATAACTTATTTTGAATACAGTTCAGGAGCCCCTCCCTCTCCATGAATGAGACCAAGTAAGCACCCCTGTGAGACAAAGTTGCCTCAATCCCAGTCCCAAATTACATATTATCTGAAATTTCGCGCTCGATTCTGTTATATCATAATTCTTCCACTTGATTTGATATTTGTTGTTTATTTCTTGCAAATCAATTCAAGTAAATATCACAGGCTAGCGATGGCATCGCAAGTTGATTATGGTCTGGTTAAGTTAATTAATGTCTAATTAATAATTCAGCTAACCTACAATAGGCAGATTTAGCTCTTGCATAATGTATGTTTAAGCGACCAGTCATGAAAATTCCCTTTATTTTACTGTACTCAGGAGAGGTTTAATTAGACTATGAAAATGGAACACTCCATCAAAAACTCAAGTTTTCAGTCTCAGTACAGCAATGGCTAGAGAGGGATATCTCGGGCCATTGCTTCAGGAATATTTTTTTTCAATAAGGTTTTGAATGTCGATAAGGATGGACATTTTTTGAGGTTGATAGGAAGACTTTTCCAGTATATTGCAGCAGTGTATTTAAATGATCACGCACTAAATGATTTCAACTTGTAGTTTGGAATCGTTAGAAGAAATTTGTCATTTGACCGAAGGTTTCTAGACGAGGAATGTTGATGGATAAGCTATTGCAGGTATGAAGGTGCTCTTCCATTCACTGCTTTGTATATCAGACACAACAATTTTGAATTCAATCGACTTATATATCTGAAGCCAATGTAATCAAGTCAGTAGTTGAGAAATGTGTTAACACAGTTTAGTTTTACAGACTATGCTAGCAGCTTTGTTTTGAATTCTTTGTAAATGTTGTGATTGTTTATTTGTTATGCCACAGGTTTTGCACAGAGAACCAATATGGGATTCCTTAGAAAGGTCATTGTCTATAATCAGACCAAGATTTCTAACTGATGTTTTAAAGATTATAGCGGATTGTTCAATATATAGATGGTTGATTTCGCCACTCTCAAGTGACTCGTCAAATAATATAAACTATGATACTGAAAGCAAATGTAATTTTACGATTCAAGCATTATACTGCTTGATAAAGTTCTTCCGTCAGTGAATTCAGAATCAGTTTTAGATATAATATTATTAATATTTCAGATGCTAGATGTAGTATAGTATTGTTTGTATTTTAGACCCTAAATGTAATTATTTATAATTCAGACCCTAGATATTATATTTGTTATATTTCAGACCCTAGATAATTATAATATTGTTTGTATTTTAGACCCTAGATATGATATTATTTATATTAATTCATACCCTAGATATAATATTATTTCAGATCCTAGATATAATATTATTTATATTTTATACCCTAGATATATATATTTTTTTTATTTTAGACCCTATATATAATATTTATATTTCAGACCCTAGATATTTCATTTCAGACACAAGTCATAATATTATCTGTATTTTAGACCCTAGATATAATATAATTTATAATTCAGACCCCAGGTATAATATTGTTTATATTTTTTACCCTAGATATAATATTTATAATTCAGACTCTAGATATAATATGTGAATGTGGATTTGGTTATACAACAGAAGCACTGTGTAATCCTGAACAACCTGAGACTAAATCATTGACCGCCATTATGAGTTCTTTTAAACCAAGGTATGTATACTGTTTTCTATACATACCTTTTGGACCAGCATTTTATCCCAGTGTTGGCCGAGTAACCAAAGATTTTCCAGCGTGGTTCCTTTAATTCAGTGGTTCAGGATGGATGGCCTGGCAAGGACAATTTCTAATTGTTCGGATGAGACCAAGGCAAATGTGCACATTGGTGCACGTAAAAGAACCCTTGTAATTCGAAAAAAGAGTAAGCCACAGCATAGCTGTCTGAGGTACATTTCCTTCAAAGTACACTGCATGACGTATGTCCCTCTTTATTAACCTAGTGATCAGTGCAGAAAAGTTGGACGTTAATCACCACTTCATTTCATTTATCAATTTTTTATGCAATCCAAATGACCAGACAAAGTTTCTTTGTTAGCCTTGCAAGCACCAAAACGAAAAGCTTGTATGCCCATCATCATTAGCCCAGTCAGTGTAGAAAAGTAGGATGTTAAAACCCCATTTCATTTCAAATCCTGAATTAATCAGATATATTCACCAAAATATATCTGATCTGATATATTCACAACATTCTCTGCTTTCTTTTTGTAGTTTTTTAAGAATCATTGCACCATTTATAGCCCTGAATCTACCAACGGAAGAAAATAAATCATTTAAGGAGAATATGAGACGATGTGATGAGTTAATACATGATATCATTACAAATAAAAAACAAGAAATAAACAAACAAGAAGGTAAGCCTGTAATTACACATGGCCAACTCGATTTGCCTCTTCCAAAAATAGTATAAGCTCTCTGGCACTAATAAGGATAAATGTCTCATTTTCCGACTGCTTATTCTTTAATGATAACCCCAAAACCAGACAGAGTTTTTCTCTATAATTTTTATAGTTTCTTAGAAAATGTTGTTTAAAACATTTGCCTCGCCACAATATTTTGTCTTTGGTGAAATATTTTGATTACTTTTGAAATATTAATGATAATTCAAATTGCTTTCTGTCTGATTCTGTGGTAGATATTCGTTTATATATCCTGCAAATTTGGTGAAGATATCTTAATTAGTTACAGAGATATAGTGTACCTACGTTTTTCATAATTTTTTCCCCCAAAATGTATTACCCTGGCAACAGCTTTTTTTAAATGCTAGCTTTCCCTTGTTTATTACATTTCCTAACTACTTGTACTATTTTCAATTCAATAGCTTTAACATTTCAGAATAAAAATTTTCGGATAGCCTCCCCCCTTAACAGCAAAAAAAAAATATCGCTAACGGGATCAGTTTATGTACGATTGTGGCGTATGGCTGTCTTCATTAGCCCGGTCAGAGATCAGCAGGATGTTAAACCCCATTTCATTTCTGATATTGACAGGTAATATGGAAGAGCGCTGCACCAATCTATTAACAATGTTGTTATTTGCGAGAGATGTTGATACACATGATGGGTTATCAGATAAACAGATTAGGGATCATGTTATGACATTCATGTTGGCTGGTCATGAGGTAAGTATTATAACACTCTACAGGTCAGAAATTTTATCCATTTTTTTTTAAATTAGATGTTAAGCATTGGGACAATGACAGAATGAGCCCTATTGATTTCCCTGTTCTCTATCTATATTTTGCAAAATGTGGGCGTATCTTGCATGACAGCCACATGTTTTATTTAAATATGCTTTATATCAGAGCTGAATCACCCTTTTGTAAATTTTTCTTTTGGCTTCAATTATTATTTAAACATTTATTAACATAACACGCCTAAAATCAACTCTCTAGACATTGATGTTGATACCAAAACCAAACTCAACCTGCAGAAAATGATATCTAAGCACATGATACAGTATAGAAAATAGTGGTCTATTCATAGATTCTAATCAAAGAAATGTCTGACATTGGTTTAATGTCTTATTAAATGCAGGCATGGATTTAGCGGTGGGTTGGTGGGTGTTTGGGAATTTTCAGGTCGCTCAGTGCTATAGTCACTTCTCTAAGGTTGACAAAAATTATTAATAAAATCAATAACAATCATAATATGACATGAACTTTATGTCAACTTGAATAAAACTACTTTTCGGCGAGATAACGATCGGCGAACAGCTATATAGGCAATACGATCTATAGGGACACCAAGACAGTGTTATAGCCAGTATTTTGTTGACATCCATTGTGAGGTGGGATTGTGGATGGCGCCCTAGATTTGGACCCCCCACCTTCACCATCCTATTCACAGTTTCTAGATCCTCTACTGATTAAATGTATCAAAATTATTTTATGTTTTAAATAGACAACTAGTAGTGGTATGTGTTGGTTTTTGTTGACTATGGCTCAGAATCCTGAAATACAGACAAGACTTCGACAGGAAGTGACATCATTATTGCCATCTAAAGGTCAACCAATCACATTTGAAGATGTAGAAAAGATGACTTATTTAAATTGCGTAGTGAAAGAAACATTAAGGTAAGCTTTAGCTCTTTTTTTCTACTCGGAGCCATAGTGGCTAAGTGAGTAAGATTCTGGCTGGCAAGCTTAGAGGTCACGTTTGGATCCCGGTGTTGGCCAAGAAAGTTCATCAGGATTTTCCAACGTGGTTTTCCCTTTGTCATTGGTGCAGGACGAAGGTCCTGGCAAGGACAGCTGTCTAGTCTTTGGAATTCGTAGCACATTAGCCCAGTCGGAGTAGGACATTAAACCCCATTTTATTACATTTTTTTTTATTCATTTGTTCATATATATTGTGTAATTTGGTCCAAATGGGAGACCAAAAATAGGGTCCAATGTACATGTTGGTATGTATGTAAAATAATCCTTGACAATTGGAATTCTAAGAAGTGTAGGTGGAAGCCACTGTACGGGCAAAATTCTCTCATAGCACACTGCATTAGCCAGTTGGTGCAGAAAAGTAGGACATTAAACCCCATTTCATTTCATTCATTTCACTGTTATTAGTATTGTAGAATGAAAGAAAAGCCCATGACTATTCTACTTATGACTAGAGGAAGATGAGAAAAGCCGAGGGTGATGACGAATCTTGTAAGAGAGGCTTATGATGAGACAGTGCCAAAAATATCATACACATGGAATGAGGCTCCCTAGATCTTTAGGCCCTAGGTATCAGCCTGCCAAGTCAGGCAGTGCTCCCAAGATCTTGAGGCCCTAGACTTAGTCTGCCAAGCCCATAGGTAAACCTGGCACTGCCCCCTAGATCTTGAGGTCCTGGGATTCAGCCTGACAAGCTTATAGGTATATCTGGCACTGCCTCTAGATCTTGAGGTCCTGTGTTTCAGCCTGCCAAGTCAGGCACTGCCCCTAGATCTTGAGGTCCTGGGTTTCAGCCTGCCAAGCTTACAAGTACAGACTATGGGTAAATCCTAGATATCGGCATGGCCAAGGTTTCAGCCCACCAAGTCTACAGACTATGGATAAGTCTTAGATATCAGCATGCCTGAGGTTTCAGCCCACAAAGTCTACCCTAGATCTTGAGGTCCTAGGCTTCAGCCCACCAAGCCTACAGGTAATTCCGACTCTAGAGTTAATGTGTATTACAAGTAAATTTTTGTCCGCAGGTTATACCCGTCAGCACCTATGACATTTAGAGAAGCTGTAAATGATGATAATATAAATGGATATTTTATACCAAAAGGAACTGTAATAAACATTCATGTCGGAGCATTACACAGGTATGATTATCTACAATGTTGATATACATGATAGTTGTCACAGATGGAGCCAAGGCAGCACCCCTGAGACTATTTAAAATGTTGATATTAGATAATGGTTGTCATGGGAGCTAAGGCAGCTCCTGTGAGTATGGTTCCAGGATAGATTCCAGAGTTGGCAGAGAAAATTACTCAGATTATTTGCCCTGGTTTTACTTTTGTCTGTGGTGCAAGATGGAGGGTCTAGCCAGGTAAAGTGTCTTGTCATGTGGATGAGATGTAAAATGGAGGTACCGTGTATATCACAAACATCTGCTGACCATTAAAAATCAAAATAATTGCTACACATAGATTTTGGACATCAATTGTTCTTGTTGTTGATTGTACAGTCATTAACAAACATGAAAATAACATATTTTATACTTGAATTCCAGGAATACTAAATATTGGAAAGAACCAGAAAAGTTTATACCAGAACGCTTCCTGGATGAAAGTAGTATTCATCCGTATTCCTACATGCCTTTTATAGCTGGTAGCAGAATGTGTATTGGATATAAATTTGCGCTGTTAGAGATGAAAGTTCTTCTTGCCTTTTTGATTCGGGAATTCAAGTTTGAAGTATTACCTGATGTCACTTACACAAAAAAGCAGTTGATCACAATGAAGCCAAATCCATTATTAGAGTTACAGGCAACCATTGTTGATTATTAAATTCACACTATACACTATTCACACTAAAAGTTATTACAATTACTGGCAACTCTGGTTGAGTCCACACTATATTCACAATAAAAGTTATTACAGTTGATTATTAGATCCACACTATATTCACAGTAATAATATATTTACTAGCAACTCTGGTTGAGTACTGGACCCACACTGTATTCACAATAGTATAGTTACTGGCAGCTCTGGTTAGAGCCACTCTGTATCATATTGATAATAATAGTAGAGTTACTGGCAACCCTGGTTGAATATTATATTCACTCTATACGATATTCACGATAAAAGTTAATACAGTTATGGCAACTCTTATTGATTATTTGAGTCACACTATTGAATAGTCTCACTACAGTTTTGAACCTTTTTAGCACCCTGTCTATTGTCAACAACAATCGAGATTAGTAATATTTATACCCTTAGTACAGGAAATATCTTGATGTCCGAATTGGCATATTCCTGTGGTAGGATATGTTCGGCATCCACAGGCTAAAAACCAACCATTTTTTTCAGGGAAATCTAGTGGTTAATATCTATATGCACTAGGTGCTGTAGGGTTAATTACCTAAAGCCACATAAAGGAAATTATCAGAATAATTCAGAACTGCTGGTTGTACTAGATCAAGACCTTTTATAGCTTTGTTTGTTCAATAGTTACTACTCTAATTTTGAACACTTGTTGTTGTCCATCTCTGAAAGAAAACAGGGGTTTGTCTGTCTGTCTCCATCCTCTATCAATCAAACGTTTTAAAACTCCTTAACTCTTTTTCTAATTGAGGTTGAATGTTGAAACTTGATGTAAATGTTCATTAGGTAAATGTCTCGATTGCATTCAGTGTTGGGCATTTGCTTATTCTTAGGCTAAGCAGGGATAAGAAATTTGATTTTTCTATGATTTGGAACATGACAACTCTTGATTCTAATCGTGTCGGACTAATGAAACTTGCTGTTCTTGTTTGGGATGATTATTATCATGTTTTTATTTGTTTTGGGTGGTAAATTTCATGTTGTTACTTGTTGTTTTTGAAGACCAATTTCATGTTTTTATTTATTGTTTTGGATAATCAATTTATTTTTTTTATTTGTTGTTTTAAATCATAAATTTCATGATTTTATTTATTATTTTTGAATCATAAATTCCATGTTTTTATTTGTTTTGGATGATATATTAAATACTCAATTTGGGTACATTTTAGCATGGATTGAGTTGTGCAAAATTACCCAAGAAGCATTTGCACCAAGTTCCCTTTTTCACCTTTACTTATTATTCTAACCACAGGCTGAGTTTGACTTTGACTAAATAATATTGTGTATCTGAACTTGCTATGATCCATAATAAAAGTTCTGTTATTTTATTTGTTAGTATTTATCTGGTTATATTGATTATCTGTTTGCTGTTGTTGTAGAACATATTTGTTGCATTGATTTTGTTGTAGAACTTGGTTTTATGCAATCCATTATATTGGCATTAATGGGAAAGGGGTTTAATATAGCCTATGCCTGTTCCCTAATCCCTATTCAGATACAAATCTGAATAAAAGTATTGATAATTAATTATATAACATCCTTGTAATTAATTACTTATATAACAACTTTGTAATTAATTATATAACAAATTTGCAATTAATTATATAACAAATTTGCAATTAATTATATAACAACTTTGTTTTTAATTATATAACAATGTTGTAAATAAATAATTAAATAACAACTTAGGAAATAATTAATTATACAACAACTTTCTAATTAATTATATAACAAATTTCTAATTAATTATATAACAAATTTCTAATTAATTCTTTAAAAACTTTGTAAATAATTAATTCTATAAAAACTTTGTAAATAATTAATTCTATAAAAACTTTGTAAATAATTAATTCTATAAAAACTCTATAAAAACTTTGTAAATAATTAATTCTATAAAAACTTTGTAAATAATTAATTCTATAAAAACTTTGTAATTAATTCTATAAAAACTTTGTAAAAAATTCAATATATAAAAACTTTGTAAATAATTAATTATATAAAAACTTTGTAAAAAATTAATTACACAACAACTTTGTAATTAATTACACAACAACTTTGTAAATAATTATATTTCAACATTGTAATTAATAATTTTTAAAGTTTTTTGATTAATTATATAAAATATTTTTGATTATTTATATAACAACCTTTTGCTTAATTATATTATGACACCTTTGTTGTAAACTACACACTGTCTTTTATTGCATTGTAATTCATTATTTTGAAAAATTGTTAGTATTTAATAACGACTGTGTACTTGATTATTTAGAAATATTGATAGTATCATATAACAACTTTGCAGCTGATTATTACATAACAACTTAGCAGAACAGTAGGACATTAAACCCCATTTCATTTACATAACAACTTTGTAATTGATTATTTGAAAAATGTATTATATAACCTTTGTAGTCACTAACAATATTGTAATTGATTATTATATTACAATTTTGTAATGAATTATAACAATTTTGTAATAAATTATAACAATTTTGTAATGAATTATAACAATTTTGTAATGAATTATAACAATTTTGTAATTGAATATTTAGGGAAAAGTGTTATCATAATGTAATTAGTGTAAACACCTTTGTCATTAATAACAACAATGTATTGATTATTATGAACAACTTTGTAATTCAATATTTAGTTTATAAAATATGTTGTCATTGTTTGGTATATAACAATCTTGTCATTAATTATTATGTAACAATTATGTCATTGATTATTATACAACAATTTTGTCATTGATTCGTATATAATGATTTTGTGATAGATTATTTATGGAAAAAGGGAAAAAAGTGTTAGCATAATGTAATTAGTCTAATTAATTAGATAAATACTTCGTCATCAATAACAACATTTTATTCTAATTGATTATTACATAACAGCTGTGTAATTGATTGTATAGAAAAAATACAATTATTATATTACATTTGGTAATTAATAATATGAGAACTTTTTTATTAATTATATTCATTATCTTTATGGTTTTAAAATACAGTTATACAAAATATTGTAGAAATTTATAACATGTATAGCATAATTTATTTTGATATACTTTACTAAAAAAAAAAGAAAAATATCTAGTTATTTAATTAATAATATTTTATATATATATCATTTATTATGAACTTTAAATATTAATCTGTGATTAACATTATCCTAAAATAACATACAGTTTCACTGTAGGTATGGATGTTCAAACAAGTTTTATTCAGGAGAACTTTTTAAATTGTTATAGATACTTGTTAATATTTTTTTACAATAAATCTTTTCCTGTACTAATCAAATTGTAATTTGGATTTTTGTTATACATACTGGTTAATATTATATACATTCATATTACATTATTATATACGTTGCGACTCATTTGTGTTTCTAGTTACCAAAGAATACAGATTTAGCTCCTTTAATACTGTTCTATAACCTTTATTGGCCCGACATGCAGGAAGTACAGTCTATGGTATGTAGAACAAAACAATAGCGTCATAGGCATACTGTCTGTTTATAGACCGTTATCAAATCATTGTTGTAACCTGCCAATCAAAGCATTGTTTCATCCTTTGAGGAAATTGTATATGCGTGTTAGTACTTCTATATTGGGTGCAACCGTGCCTCCGCGAGTAATGTACTGACTCACTAACCGCAATTCCGTCTTTATTCGTCTGGAAAGGAACATCGTCTCGTCGTTGGTATGGGAGGAGAACCGAGTTCCGGGTACACTTTCTCGTAAATGAACCCTTAACACAAACATTATTCTGATTGGTGCAGAAAAGTAGAACGTTAAACCCTATTTGGGAGGATACTTTGGGTTGTGACGGGGTCGCCTGTCGCACGAAATGTTTTCCCAGATACGAACTGTTAAACTATGGGCCATCCAGCACACGAGATTGGTAGTGATCCTAATCACAGTTACAACACCGAAACTAGAGCGCACGCGTTAAGCCATTGGGCCACCCAGTCCCCGTGTATGCACAAATACGATCGTTAGCTAAATCAGCTTCCATATTGTCGATATATTTGTTTGTTTAGGTTTCTCTTGGTAGCGGTAAACAGACTTCTGTAGAACCAGAAGTCAGAACTAATTTCATTAAACAATTTGGTTTTGTAGGCTTACTGAATAATTTGTTAAAGGTGGGGACCCACAGTTTACAGGTATCGAGCCGTTTCCAAATGATCGCCAAAATTGTTTCATGGTTAAATTTCAACCCATTATAACGCCACAGTTAGATGGTTCCCCACTGAATTTTTTTTTCTTTAAATGATCTTTCTGTTTTGTTCTTCCTGTTTTTCAACATTTTTGATTTTCTTTCCGCTTCTTCCTATTGTGCCGTCTTCATCAGCCCAGTAGGAGCAGAACAGCAGGACGTTAAACCCCTTTTCATTTGTTCTTATTGTCCAAAGAACATGCGTGTGGAGGTTCATGCTGATTGTATCCCAATCGGCATTGCCTGAGGCCTATATTGTTAGGGGCATCGTCTCAAGGCGAGATCTACCAAGTGCATGGTCCCAGTTCCTGCTTCATTGAGCTAATGAAGACGGACATACGCAATACAGCATGCTGAGAGGGAAATTTTGCCCGAACAGCGGCACTACAGCCTACTCTTATATCTTTACGTGAACACCACCGTTTTTCGTCCCATCCGAGCGGTTATACGTTGTCCCTTGCCCGGCCCTCTACCCTGCTCCACTGACAAGGGGGAACCACGCCGGAAAATCTCAATGAACTTTCTCGACTAATGCAGGGATTGAACACACGACCTCCAGGTTAGCGAGCCAACGTCCTACCCACTGAGCCACCGTGGCTCCCCTTCACACACACAGCCGGGAAGCATGGCCGAATTAAGACCCAGAGAGGTCCTAAGCACTAAAATGATTTTGGTGGGCCCATATATGTAATCTAAAAAATTAAAAATAAGCCAGAAACAACCCCCAAGCACGTGATTAGAGTTTTTCTGTGACTTTATACACGTCATTGTTAATTGCAACAAGACAGGTAACAGTATGAAAAGAAAAAAAACAATGAAAAACTAAATGTAAGTTCTTGATTAATTTTAAATATTTTAACAAAGCAGACATTCTGTGGTGCCCCCATTACCATGATGCCCTAAGTACGTGCTTACTTTGCTTAATGGTTAATCCAACACTGCCGGGGCGGCTCCTTTAAATCCGAAATAAAGTGCAACAAGACTGCACTATTGGATTTAAGTGCGTGTTAACTCCGTGAAATATACAAACAAATTGAATTACAATATGCGGTTAACATATTGCTTTTCTATCACCAGTGTTAAATACCAACGGACAGTGGATTGCTTTTGGACTTGTAACTAAATGGAAGTATCGTGTACATTAGATGTCGCCATCAGATTCGGTTAATCGATTAACAATACTCGATATGGATGTATCTGTTGACATTATCTGATTTTTGGATGAAATAAAAGGAAGACATCGTTAATTTCATGTCAATAAATCATCAATATGCATAATAAGGGAGTCTGTGGATATAATTGATCGTGAAATAATAGACCACGGGACGATTCTACCAATTGGCGGTTTACTCTTTGTATTTTTTGAAAGTATTTCGATGTTTTTTCTTTAATATTGTTATTTTTAGTATGTCTTCGTCACTTGTAATTTTCGTCATATTTATAAAATCAAATATTTTTTCCGTTGTCAATGGTCTGAGTATTGACATATAAACTGTTGTCTTGTAAGGTAATTTAAAAAGGTGGCACCAACGACTGTTTATTTCCTAGAAGAGATTATACGAGTTAACGGCACACCAGCACGCAGATTACGGAATTAGCCGAAGATAACTGGTCGTGTTTCTGGCAGCCGAGATGTTGTGTTTGGATTTTGTATTTATTTATTTGTTGTGTCACCTAACTGTCCTTAAATCAGGTAATTATTAAATGTCGTTTGCGGGAAAGGGGGAAGATTGGGAAGTGAGGTTGTGAGGGGATTTTGGAGGGGCACAAAATTTTTTAAGTCACTTAAGGGGTATTAGGTATAGATGGAGAACTGACAGTCCTCGCTAAAATAATTAAAAAAACAAATAGATAATGCAAAGAGAATAATCTGAAAATTTCAGTCAAATTACATCACGCTGAACCTACATATTAGTCATTCGATCGTCATTACTACCGTTGTTATGATAATAAACTAAGTCTCGATTATCCATTTTTACGGTTACTTCATCCACCACAAAACGTATTCAAATCCACTAAATATCGCAGGCATCCGCTGGCATCGAGGATTGATTATGGTCTTGGTAAGTTAATTAATATCTAATATAGGCAGATTTATCTCTTGCATAATACATGTTTAAGTGACCGGCGCAAAATATGAACACTTGCGTCCAAAAAGTAACCCGCGAAACTAGTTGTGTGGGGTGAACGATTCCCCGGATATAAAATGATAATTAAATTTAAATGTCGGTTATTATTTAATCACGAACGGAAATATCTCAACGTTTATAAATTTAGAATAGTAAGATTGTATTCCTAAATAATATGTCATTCACTAACTTATGACGACCCCCCCCCCCCCCAAACACTTCTAAACTTCTAAAACAAACCTACGCCTAACGAGTGTTAAAGCGAGAGAGAGAGAGAATGGGGTTTAACGTCCACTCGACACAAACTAGGTCATTTCGGGACTAACATATGGTTTAATTTTTTTATTTCAATAATTCGTTTGCGCGTAGGGGTCTTTAGCAGTGGGAGGAAACCGGAGGACCCGGAGAAACCCCACGAGGTTGGACAGGCGACCCTACTCCTTGTCACGTACAACCGGGGAATCGAAACCCTGCCAGTTGACTCAATGACAGACCGTATGATACAGACCGTGCTAACCATTCAGCCATGCAACCCCCCGAGTGCTGAAGCACATACACACACACACACACACTGTCATCGATACAAGTTGTCGTTTGCTTCAATCCCACTCTGATAATTGACAAGGGGTACAGTCGTGTATATAAGTTCTTGTGTGTTTCCGCCCCCCGCCCCCCCCCCCCCCCCACACACACACCGATGGGAGCCTACCTAAACCGGAAGTGACCAACTTGGTTCCCCGGTTCCCTGTATAATTTATATTTAATTCCAGTATTTAAAAGTTTTGTGTACGTGAATTATAGTTTAAATTTAATTTCACTATCTAAAAGTTTTGAATACGGCCATAGCTTAATTCTATACTTAATGTCAGTATCTACAAGGTTTGTGTATGGCAATTATAATATACTATTCAAAAAAAGTAGGGGATATTTGATTTTTAAGTGTTATTAAAGTCACCTAATGAAACTGACGAAGAAACAAATGACAAAATGAAATGAAGTTCACATTCATCGATTTATTCCAAATGATCGTTAGACTAAGTAAGGCACAGACTGACCATTATAAGGGTAAAATGATACCCGGGGTCAAACAGCAAAGTTACCACAGCATCACAACCAAGTCAGTAACGGGTAAATCCTCCTCTGTTTGCCAAACAAGCATTGATCCGACGTGGCATACTCCTAATGAGACGTCTAAGGTCATTTTGGTCCAGATTGTCCCATTCCTGTTGCAACGCAGCAGCAAGTTCTTGGACATTGGCAGAACGTTGTTGACGTTGACGTAACCTCTGTCCAAGCATGTCCCAGACATGCTCGATGGGGGAGAGGTCGGGACTCAGTGCTGGCCAAGGTAATGTGGTGATGTTCTGTTGTTGGAGGTAACCTGTAACGATCCTGGCCCTGTGACATCTTGCGTTGTCATCCTGGAAGATGAAACGGCGGCCATGACGTCGTGGGAACGGCACAACATGGACTGCCAAGATGTTGTCCCGGTAGTACTGGCCTGTAACACGCCCTGCAACAACATGTAAAGCCGTTCTTCCAGCAACAGTGATGCCTCCCCACACCATAACAGAACCACCCCCAAATCGATCATGTCTGATGACGTTAACGTCTTGGAAGCGCTCGTTTCGACGACGCCACACCCTCCTACGTCTGTCCAAAAAATCAACAGTGAACCTTGACTCATCTGAAAACATCACATTGCTCCAGCGTCGATTATCCCAGTGTTGACGATCCCTACACCAACGACGTCTTGCCTGAATGTGATGATCTCTCAAACAAGGGATCACGCGAGGACGTCGGGCGCGAAGGTGACCCCTATGCAGTCGATTCCGAATCGTCTGGCCACTCACTCTCACACCAGTGTCTGTTTGAAGACGAGCGCTGATCTGATTTGCTGTGATGACACGATTTCTCAAGGCCAAGGTACGGATAAATCGATCCTGGGCTTGAGTTGTCGCCCTTGGTCGACCTGAGCGTGGTCTGTCCTGTACAGATTGTGTATCACGGTATCTGGACCATAGCCTGCTTATGACAGACTGAGAAACATTCATCGTCCGCGCCACAACCGCCTGTGTTGTGCCGATCTGTAGCATGCCAAGGGCACGTAACCTTTCATTTTGGGTAAGCCGACGCATATCAAAATTTGTTTTCTGGTCACTAAAACAATTAAACTGATGTTTCCACCCTGGAATTCAATGCCACAATGACTGTAACATTCAAAGTCAGAGTCGTGCAAATCTTGGGTTGGACCCCCATGATGATCCCAAGCATCACCTGCATTCCATGCGGTAGCTATTGGTGCGTTTGGGCGTCACATGTAACTGGAAATGTTTCTTCTGTTAGGTTCTATAGTGACTTTTTTCGTAGTCATTTGCATATTTTAGTATTATGCCCCCAAAATCAAATATCCCCTACTTTTTTTGAATAGTATAGTTTATAATATCATATTTAATTCCGGTATCTACACGTTTTGTGTACGGGAATTATAGTTTATAATGTTATATTTTATTCCAGTATCTACAAGTTTTGTGGACGGAAATTATAAGGGTAACTACGATGAAAGTAAAGCCCAATGCGAAGGACTCGGTCTACAAGTCATCAAACTAGAAACCCAGAAAGATATCGAGGAGCTCAATAACTGGATGACGAAGAACAAAGAGTAAGTTATCAATATTATATACATTGTCCCTAAGTTTACTAAATGCCGTTGTGTTTGATAACGATAAGGGGATACTTATCGAAACGTCTTTATTAACCATTGATAGCTTCCCATAACAATTGTGTTGTGTTAATGTCTCAATCGCTAAATATCAGGGCCCTGTTTCTCGAAATCTTATAACTAAAGAAAAATCCAAATTTTAGTAGATACTTCAATTTCAATTGGCTAAGCACTAAAATCAATCTAATATTATCCAATCAAATTACTAAAATTTGGATTTTAAACCTTACATCTTTGCAAATGAAATGAAACGGGGTTTAACGTCATACTATTCTGCTCATGAAAACAGACGTACATTTGCCCGAACAGCGGTACAACGGCCTACTCTTATATTAAATTCCAACTGCCAGCAGTTCTTTTACTTACACGCCAATGTGCACACGGGACCTCGGTTTAAGTCTCATCCGAACGACTATACGCTATCCCTAGTCCAATCCTCTGCCCAGCGCCACTAACAAAGGACAGCCATGCCGGAAAATCACGATAATCTTTAGCGAACCATCGTCTTACCCAATGAGGCCCCACGGCTCTTTTATTTCTTATGGTAAGTGCGTGATGGGGGTTTTGTCTTACAGTTTGTGTGACTGGGAAGAAAACTGGGCGAGCAGGCAAGGCGCGGGGCAGCTATTTCCCATGCTAAATGAAAGATGGACCGTGTGTTTGTCTTATAGGATAGAGTTTGCGTGTTTGGGATGGAAAGAGGGTGGGGAGACAACTATTTCGCATGCTAAATGAAATGAAAGATGGAGGCTTTGTTTCACATGGTTTGCGTGGTTGGGAATGCCATAGGGTAAGGATGCAAAGTGAAGGGCAACTATTTCCCATATGCTAAATGACAGGTGAATGTGTTTGTCTTACAGAATAGAGTATGCGTGGTTGGGAATGAGGTATATAGAGCCCGAGTTTAAGTGGTTTGATGGAACGAGTTTGGCTGTTAGTAACTGGGACGATGTGAACGATGATGAACCCGATAATTTAGATACACAACATTGTGCTATGATACGTCAAGTCGACTTAAAATGGGACTCACGAACTTGTCAATCAAATTTTACAGCCGTTTGTCAAACAGTGACAGGTGAGTAAATTTGAAAAATGTCGTCGTCATTGGGTGGATGGATAAATCCCTGGCAAAGCAAAATATTTTGAAATTTGAATCTACAGAGTAATATGATTAAAAAAAACCCAGTTTAATCCCGTTCACCATTTCCAAAGATAAGATGAATCGAACATTTCGCAACATTTGATCGATATAGACGAACCAATGTCACTTGTATAAGTATAGAGGTTTTTTTTTCCAATCAATCTGATTACAATACACATCTATTGTTTCGTTTGTTTTTTTGGGTTTTTTTTGTTTGTTTTGTATGCTTTCGACGGTCTCCACTACATTAAGATCTGATAGGTTGTTGTGGGAGGTCTCGTCTAGGGCCATACGAGCGACGTTTTGATTTTAAAACCGATCACCTTCGGTGCTCCAAGTGGCTATTTGGAAATACAACTTTTGTTTTGTTTACATTTCATTTTGGGGGTTGGATGGTCGAATGGTTAGCATGTATCATAAAGCCTGGTTAGCGTACGCGCGCTGTATCATAAAGTCTGTCATTGAGTCAACTGGCGTGGTTTCGAATCCCCGGTTGTACGTGACAAGGAGTAAGTTCGCCTGTCCAACCTCGTGGGTTTTCTCCGTGTCCTCCGATTTCCTCCCACTGCTAAAGACCCCTACGCGCAAGCGAATTATTGAAATAAAATTAAACCGTATGTTAGTCCCGAAATGGCCTAGTTTGTGTCGAGTGGACGTTAAACCCCATTTCTCTCTCTCTCTCTCTTTTGTTTACATTTCACCCATAACACGGATTATTTAACAAAGCGTTCAGTTCCTTGTGTAGTGAGAAGGTAAAACGACATTTTGAACTATAAAAAGGAAACTATAGAGAAAATGAAATAAAGTGAAATAGGGTTTAACGTCCTAATGATGACGGGCATACAGTGTGCTATTTGAGAAATTTTGCCCGGACAGCGGTACTACGGCCTGCTCTTATATCTAATTCCAACTGCAAAGGGATATTTTACGTGCACGCCACTGTGTACACGGGACCTCGGTTTTTCTCCCAATTTCTAAATCGAGACATACCATTTGCGCATATTGGGCAGGGATCACACTGTCGGTCGTCCAAGTCGCAATTTGCAATAAAAATATGAACATAGCGATTAAAATTTGATTTTGGCGATAACGTTTTGCGGTACTGACGATTCTTTTTGAGAACTGGCGGAAAAAATCTTAAAATTGTAATCGTATTTATCCTGGATTAAACATTAAAATTACATTGAGTGTCAATCACGTGACGGCAGATTCTATAAATTAATCAACTGGCTGATAATCCGTATCGCGTCAATGTGTATTAATGATTAGTTGATTGATAATTGCCAATGATATACATAAAGCCTATCGCAAGTCATTATTTGCGTCCACGCATAAGACCCCTTGGCAGTCGGGATGCGATGAAAAGTAGGCGGAGACGCCGCTGTAAGGGCAAAATAATACTTATGGATAATCGGCCTTCATTATCCCGGTTGGTGCACAACAGTAAGAAGTTAAACACCATTTTATTTCATGTGATTTCAGCCGTGAGTGATGCAGACAATGCCAAGCCAAGCAACGAAACAGCATCAGACCAAACTAAAGGCGACACATCTGTGAATGATGCTAATCAGGTAGCCGAAACACAAGATAAAGTAGGTACAGTTACGGAACCAGCATCAGACCAAACTAAAGGTGATACAGCTGTGCAAGACACATTTGTGAATGATGCTGATCATGTAGCCGAAACACAAGATAAAGCAGGCACAGTTACGGAACCAACATCAGACCAAACTAAAGGTGACACAGCTGTGCAAGATAGAGCAGAGGCAGTTACCCAATCACCAGATCTTAATGTGAGAACAATCGAGTTCGGTGTTTTTGCCAAGAATCGATATCTCCAACAGACGCCGTTATTGTCGAAATCCAACACAAGTCTTGTTCAGTGTGCTATAACCTGTTCACATAATACTCAGTGTTCTTATTTTGCCAGTGAAGCATCAACATGTAATCTATATCAAGCCACAGTTTCGCTAGAGATGACTGATAAGCGCGGTTCTTCGATTTGGAAAAGGTCATGAGCCTTCTTGGGACAAAAACACGAATCTAAATTTCGTGATCCAAAACGGTGAGAGATAAACGAGATCTGTACTCTAGCTAGAAATGTAGTTTTCGATAGAAATACGCGGTTTATGACTTTGTCTAAAGAAAGGGTGAGTCACTGAACTTAGCTCATCAAAGGATGAAACATTCAAACTCTTCATTAGACTTTAGCCCACCAAAGAATGAGACACTGAACTCTTCATTAGATATTAGCTCACGAAAAGATAAGGCACTGAACTTTTGATTAAATATTAACTCACGGAAGGACGAGACACTGAATTCTTAAATTTTCTGTAACCGATTGGAATCCCCGTGTGGACATTTTCAAGTCTGACCTGGTACCCAGCTTGTCCCGGTACTCCGTTTAACTCGGTACCCGGTTGGTTCGGGACCCAATGTGGCTGGGTACGCAGTTTTGCTCGGTGCCAATTTGAGTCGGTACCCATTCTGGTCCGGTGCCTGTTTAGTTCGGTACCCGGTTTGTCTCGGTGCCTGTTTTACTCGGTACCCGGTTTGTCCCGGTGCAAGATTGACTTGGTAAACGGTTTGCCCGGTACCTATCTTTTCGTTATTCTTTAATTATAACAGAATGACAATAACCTTGACGTTACAAAACGTCTTTACTAAATAGGGGTCAAAACATTATAGGCGTGCTAAAGAATTCAAGGGTATTAACAACCAATACCTAACTGCGTAACAAGATCATCTGGATTTGAACAGACCACCAGATATGTTTACATAACATTACGGCATGAATCACGAAATTTATTACGCCCAATTAATCAGTGCATAGTAGAATATTGAAGAAAAACTAATTGCGTGACAAACGAGGCTCGCAAAACGGCAACAATCTAAACAATACTGCTTGGAGACGAACATTACTTCCGCCGTTTTTAAAACCTTAATCACTGTCCAAAGTTTTAGGGAAGTTCCCAGATTAAACGAAGGGCTGTCATGTTGCTGTACTTCGGAGAGATTTGATTGAACGGGAAGAATAGACACATTCCCTCAAAAGCTCAAGTATCAGAAATCAATCCAGCAATGGCCATTGATTCAGGAATATGATCAGACCAAGCTACTACATTTTCTGATTTGACATTTAAAGATACATTAGTTAAGAATTTAATAAAGAGTTGGCCATTCTTGCTATAATAATTCAAAAATAGAAAATATTGAAAATTTCAGTTCACTTACTTTATTCTTAACGGAGTTGCCACTGTTGACAGTTCGGATTAGAAATAGGCATCAGCTGTGTCCGCACCGTTTACGAGAATTGTCGATCGTTTGATTGACAGACGATAACTCTACCCACATATTCTCGATTATCAAGTAACATTCTCAATAGCTATGGTACCCTCGCTTGGTAGGCCTTTCAAAACCCGTTTCCGGTGGTGACGTCAGTAACTAACGGTAAACGTTAGCTTGGTCGGCCATGTCTTGATTTTATTTTAAATGGGCGACTGTTTAAATCCAAGCTGTACCCAAGCCATCCGAGAGTATACAGGGTTGATTTTGAGCTTGTCATGTAAATAAACGTCTAATTATTAATGTCTATAACATCTGAAACCTAAATAAAGACTTGCAATAGGTAGATTTAGCTCTTGCATAATGTATGTTTAAGATTACTATTCAATTATTGGCATTGGTATTACTTGGGTACTCTCAAAATTGTGATCCAAAGCGGAAAAGTTTTCTAAGATTTATATTATCAACATTATCGAAATTTACAGTAAGTATATTTAAAAGGAGAGTTGGAACATTGACATGTTGTATTCTTGTACGTCCAGATTTTCAATCGCTTCACGACACGACTGTCATTGATCCGAAAAGCGTCAAGGTGTAACGCCCGCCGTTGAGCCGAAAAGCATCAAAGTGACACGCCAGTCATCATAAAATTCGCTGTTTGAGTAAACTTAATGGATTTTTGTTCACAGGACAAAAGAGGTAAGTTTAAATAAGTATTAATGTTTTGTAAGTATTTTAATGAAGCCACACTTTTAAATAAGAAAAAAGATTCAATGTAAGAACCCTGCCGACTCTTCGTGAAAGGCTACCACCCGATTTTGGATAATTGTAGTTTCTTATAGCCAGTATCGGGACAAATTTCAGAATACAACTTTATAGAATTTGGTGGAGGTGCCAGGTAGAGATGTGAGTAAAGTCACACCGATATGTGATATGGAACCAGCAATGGTCGCCAACAGGTGCGTGGACAAGTGACAAATACAAAACTTTCTAGTTTGCGGGTCAGGGTTATTGTGATGAACCAGCCTTCTCTGGAGCATGTGCTCACGCCATTTCGCAATAACCACGCCCTAATGACAATCCTACATATTTAATGGCATTTAAGACTACAACATTACATGTCCTCAGATTTTCGCTTTAAAAATTCAGTAAACTACTTTAACATGCATGGTATCTATTAACATAGTTCGCGATAAATTTAACATATTCAGTTGATTAATGCAAATAGCAATTAAAATGAGATATCAGTTTGCCTTATTAATATGTCTAACTCTAAAATAAATATTCATATTACGGAAGTTGTTTAATATAAGGGGTTCACTAGACCGCAGGTGCACTAGTCCGCCGATATAAAATATACTATAAATATTGGCATCAAAAAAAACTCAGCAGGTATGTTGGCTGATTGGTATCATGTCATCTTCCTCTCAATATACAGTTTGATTATGTACACTGATCCTGGTACATGTATTTGTCAAGTAAGTTCCCTGGGATTTTGCAGCGTGGTTTCTCCGTTTCGGTAGTGCAGGACGAAGGGCCTGGAAAAGATCAGTGTCTAGTTGTTCCTAGAAAATGTCCTTCATAGCACTCTGCATAGTGTATGCCTATCTTCAATAGTCCGATTGGCGCAAAAAAGCAGGAAATAGAATAAAATGAAATGGGGTTTAACGTCCTACTGTTCTGCTCTGAGTGGGTTAATGAAAACGGGATGCGCTATAGGCTATACAGTGTAATATGGAAAAATGGTTACATACCATTGTCAGTGTGGGTGCGTTGCGTACATATCATTGTCAGGGTTGATGCATTTACATTTACATTGCATTGCCGGGTTTGGTGTATTTACACGTCATCATCAATCGTTAAAAATGGCAATCGGACTAGTGCACCCGCGGACCAGTGATCATTCTCCGTTTAATATCCGTCTACGACTTATTGCTGATTCGTATAAATTGTTATTATATGCAGGAAACAAAATCAATATAACGGAGATGTTGAATCCCCAGTTTGCTGAGTTCATGAACATATCAAGGGCTTTCTAAATCTTCTTAAATCTCTAAATCTCCGTATGATTTCCAAACGCCTCCAATGTTTTGTTAAATCTGTCGTTGCATTTAGATCGGACGTTCTGTGGATATCGTTGATAATTAGAACAAAGAGGGTGGGGTTAATGGCCGTTCCCTGCTGCTTTCCATTTTTTAAATGTCTGGTCGCCACTCAGAAATGCCTTCATCTGTATTCGTCTATCGACCAGGAAGCTCTCAATCCACCTGATCATTATGCATTTTACTAGGATGTGATTTAAATTGAAAAGCCACCCAACCAGACTAAATCCTTGGCGAGGTCTACAAAACACGGCTAATAACAAATTCCCGTTTTAACAAAACTACATGCGACATATCGTACTGGAGTATGTCCATTATAAACCGCCATATCCTGAATTATTGTTGCATGCAACATGACGTGTTAGAAGTTAGAGCCTAAAACCTCTTTGATTTTCGTCGATTAGTTCGCAATTACTCTCCAGATGAAATCGTATTCTATTTTTCCCCATGGTTTCTAGGGTTCTGCATAGAGTCGATGTCACGCTCAGTGGTTTGTGTAGTTGGGTGGTGTTGACTGGTCTCCATTGTCTTGGTACCCTTCCGGGTATCCATAAAACATTTAGAAATCTCAATAATTATTAGTGAAGAATGCTACAAATTCACTAATTTCATCCTCCACTCAAACGCGTCGATTGGTTCCTGGCGTCTGCAACTGGTTTAGCTAGTAGGTCTACCTTATCTGTGCCGTTGATAGCCCACTCTTCTCCGAATTGCAGGTTTGCTTTGTTGTTATTTCTACGCTTTTCATCCATGGAATCGAATTTAGAGCATTACAGAATATCATCCCGCAGTGTCTATTCTATGGATCTCGGATGTCCTTACAACATACTTCATGTACATGTAAAATGTTGGCGCTTCTCCGTTGTTGTGACGCTTACATAATCGCAGTGCTATCTTTCTATTACGCATTGCCCTTTGACACACAGGCGACCGCAGGGGCGCAGGAACCCTGGTACCCGGGTATACAAATGGTACCCTGTCCTTTTCTAGGGTATACATGTATACCCATGCCCTAATGATGAAAGATTTCAACCTTTTTACTAGTCTATTCATTTTTAAATGATAGATATGTAATTGCTCTCTGATCGGTCGCGAGCCGGCTCTCGCACTCTCATTATCAGCTATCAGTGCATGCCTTGGCCAGATGTCTATAAGTGGCAAATCGAGTTCATGAGATGAATAGCTTATGATACGAAATTTGTGAATAATCAGGCTTTTGTGTCTTTCATTATCATGTATTTTAAAGGTTTTTATGTTGGAATTTGGAATGCTAGAGGCGCTCTAAACAGCGTTCTCGGAATTGACAAATTTCAAAATTATTTAGAGGCCGGGGGAGAGACCCCCCCCCCCATATCTTTTGGTACCCTGGCTCTCGCGCCGCTCCGGCGCCCCTGGGCGAACACCAGCGTTTCGTGTTCCTTGTTTTTCATCTTGATGTTTTCTGGTATAGACCTATCGACTGCGTCGATGATTGCTTTTTGGCATCATTGTTTCTTCTTAGTGTACTTGCCATCCGCAGCGGTTTTCTATATCTAGTGTGCAAAAAGTGGGGTTTAAATGTGAAAACGGACATGTTCCTCTTACAAATGCTGGTCTTCGATCATTCAGCACACATAGGTCATTCCCTCCGAGACGTACCCCCTCAAAGTTTTACCCTGTAGGAGCAGATCAGCGAACAACTGATGGGGTCATTTTTGATTTATTGCTCAACGCGATGTCCGCTGCTCCAAAGGGATGCACTGGCTTCAGCGAAACTGAGATAAAAATACAGTCACCTATATCTAGCTGCTTTTATATGCTCCAGCCGGTATCTGAGCCCTCCACGCTATGCAGTGTGCTAGGACGGAAGTCGCTGTCCGAACAACGGCACAGTTAAGTCAAAACGCGAGGTGGGGTTATTAGCAAGGACTTCTCTTATGACGGGTTGACAATACTTTAAGTTGATCAATTTCTATGAGCTATCCTTTATAAAACAGGTATACTATACACAAATCCATAATCGGAGAGTGGGTTTCAAACCAAACTTAGTAGAGTATCATGCATTCATTATATAACATTTAATTAAAGAGACATTATTAAAGAGCTAAATCTGGCTATTGCAGGTTTTTCTGTGGACCTTAAATGTTATAATATAAATTATTAATTAGACAATTATTAACATACCAAGATCCTAATCAACTTTGTAGTTTTTAAAGGATTTAAAATAGTTAACACCTGTTTTAAGGAACATGATCTTGTATATTACATTATATATGCATTTATCCAAAATGACGATCACAGTCATGTTTGTGAAACCAAATGAATAATTTATAAGACACCGCAAAAAAAAAATATTTAATCAATATTGATAAACACTCTTAAAAGTATAATGTTATTCGCTACATAATATTATTATGTGTTGATAATAGATGACATAGTCGGATGTATTCATTACGTTACAGAAATATGATCTTTTATGACTAAAATCAGCGGATTAAAACAAACACGTGTTGCTTGGACACCGTATGTCACTTTGACATGATCTTCACCGTTTCCGTGTACATATTGTGACTCTGAACGGTGCTGTCTCCGAGGTTCTCCTGGTAGGAGTTTAGAGGTCTTGCAGCCAATAAGGGTATTACTTACAATAGTAAGTAGTGGGACAGTCCCAATGCTCAAAAATGCTTCACTGCTTTCTAAATAGATAAAGAAGCAGTGAGACAATACAGATTTGGTACTGTTCAAGAGACGGAATGAAAAAAAGGGGAGCGTGTTGGGTCACTAGTATGTAAAGAGAAAAACAATTGTAACAGAACACAATTTTTATGAGAAAACAATCATTGGTTTTATTCTAAAAGCACGACGTTTCAACAAATATCTTCTTATCGTCATCAAGCACAATGACATTTAGTTCGTTCGTTCTTAGGGTATTACGCCCGCTTCCACCTTGGGTGATATCGCAGACAAGAGGACATTAAGTAACTTGGGGTTAATATATAAGATATTCATGACGAAGCCATTTACAGAGCTTAAACATACATTATGCAAGAGCTAAATCTGCCTATTGTAGGTCTTTCTTTGGGCCTGAAATGTTATCGAAATAATAAATTAGAAATTAATTAACTTATCCAGACCATAATGAACTCTCTGTGTCATCTCTAGCCCGCGATGTTTATTGGATTAGGTTCCGATGTACTGTTATACTTCCATTCATGATTTAATCATGAAATGGATAATCGAGACTATGTTTTTTTATCGTACCTACTTTAGTAATGATGATCGAGGCTAGGCCGAAAATTCAATCGCTAAAATCTCGGTTCAGAGTGTATCAGTTTGACTGAAATTTTCAGCAATTTCCCTTTACATTATCTTTTAACTATTATAGTAGAACTGCCAGCCCTTTATCTAATCTCCCATAATGTATCTTTAAATAGTAATAACAATAAGAAGTAAAATGTAAAAAGATTTTTTTAACAAAAACACCCCCCCCCACCCCCAACCCTGAAAAAAAACCCAAACAAGATAGATTTGTAATTGACTAACTAAATAAACAATCCAGAGTAATGATTAACTAGTTAGAAGACCTTCAAAGGGAGCCATAGATTAAGCGAAAGGTATGAACATATAGACTCTGACCATGGACAGGAAAGGCATCGATTTAAAGACCATACCCAATTTCTTGGAGTAATCTTTGATGGATGCCTAACCAACATCAACTTGGTCGTAGAGATATGCACTCAGATTCTAACTTTGGTGAGGACAATAAAGGGCAGTTTGTTGGGAGGAGTTAGAGTGATACTAATGATGATGCATCGTGCTCTCTTTATAAATTGCTCAACAGCCCCCTCAAGAGAGAGAGAGAGAGAGAGAGAAATGGGGTTTAACGTCCACTCGACACAAACTAGGTCATTTCGGGACTAACATATGGTTTAATTTTATTTACATAATTCGCTTGCGCGTAGGGGTCTTTTAGCAGTGGGAGGAAACCGGAGGACCCGGAGAAAACCCACGAGGTTGGACAGGCGACCCTACTCCTTGCCACGTACAACCGGGGATTCGAAATAAGGCGGTCGACTCAATGACAGACTTTATGATACAGCGCGCGCACGCTAACCATTCAGCCATCCACCCCCCCTTGCCCCCTCAAGCATACCTGGGTTTATAGAATATAAAACAGTCTGTGTTGCTACTGACGTCGGATTGGGTACCACTTCTACGAGAAGCCGGGGCGTTACTGTTGCCATTACAAATGAAAGATTTGCATCAAGGTATGAGGCAAAATGTCACAATTAGGCGATAGTTTCTCTACTTCTGTTAGCAAGCAAATAAGCTCTAAAGAAAAAGAACTTTGGCCAAGGTATGAAAGAAGCAGCCCGAGAACTGAAAATATACAGATATAAATAGGATGCATTGTAAAAAAACATAATACATATACACACAACACTTCCAAAGATGGCTTTTAGGGGGAGACAATTCTTGTCATACTATCGATCGTAAAGCGGGTCTATGACCTTTTTAATTAATAGCTATCCTGTGACTCCATTAACCCATCACAAAGCCCTATCCCCCACCCCTTCCCATCTACTCCACTCACCGCCACCCCCATATGGAGTATAACGTTCTGTAAACATAATACAGATCTATACCTATTTAGTTACCCTTATCTTCCCTTGTGTTTCTTATCATGATAATGTTTTTAAACTTGGGGACCTCGTTGTCCCAACCTGGTCTTGTTAAGTTTTATCCCCACTTGATATGGACTTTAGGGTCTTATCAACGCCTTGGTCATTTTGAAACTAACATTGGTTAAAAGGAGAAGGATTTTGCCCAGACAGCAGCGATTCCGGCTACGCTTCGTTAAATTCCAAATTAACATGGATTTTTGGAACACGTTGTTATGCATGATTTGCTTCTTTCTATATCACATGTTAAGTCCCTCGAGGAAGTACCATGGGATTTTCCAACACGGAATAGTGTCTAATCTTTGGGATTGTACGAAAACCGTGGTCCCGTATACACGTTGGTGTGCACGTACAATAATCCTAGGCAGTTGGAATTCAAAATACGACTACGACTTCGCGTCGCTGCCCAGTCTAACATTCCCTTGTATCACACTCCACTAGCAACGGACGCCTATTAGAACATTTTGCGTTGAAATGTGAACACGTTAATGTTCACATATGAACACCGCAGTTCTAAAACTTACGCAAATCCTTAAAATCCGTTCAAAACTGAACACATTGTGTGCATTTTCCTTTCAATGGTCTTTGAAATCATTATGGTGTATGCCCGTCTTCATTATCTTGGTTATACAGTTTGACGTAAAACCCCATTTATTTCATTTTATGATGTTAATCAAACAAGTACCCTGAGCTCGGCATTCCTGGTTGTTTTACTTTATCATTAATATTTGGATTAATAATGAGATAAATACTAAGACAACTATGTAAATGGAAAAATGTTTTTCAACCGCAATAAGGTCACATATTTGTACAAATTCTTTGACAACGTGACACAGAAGGTTTCATATATTTTCCTGCTGGATCTACTGACGAACTTTCACGGGCAAAGTGATGCAGGATGGAGGGCCTGACAAGGACAGCTGTCTAGTCGTTCGGATGGGACGAAAAACCGAGGTCCCGTGTACAAATTGGCGTGCACGTAAAAAATCCCTTGGCAGTTGGAATTCGAAATAAGAGTAGGCCGTAGAGCCGCTGCCCGGGCAAAATTTCCCTCATAGCACACTGTATGGCGTATGCCCGTCTTCATTAGCACAGTTTAGGAGCAAAACAGTAGGACGTTAAACCCCATTTCATTTCATTTCATTTCACGGGCAAAACCGGGGTCGAACCCGATAACTATTGGTTAGTGAGTCAGTGCCACATACCCTAGGCCACCGTGACTTCTGGTTGGCGAGATGGATTAAAACTGTCTCAAAGAAGTATCAAGACTACACGTATAACTATTCCTCCAGTGTATAATCAACACGGGGATCGTGGAAATATTTAAAGGCGCCAAGTCTTTAACTCAGTATCAGCCACAGTCTTCGACATTGAAAACACAACTTGTTGGTCAATTTAAATCAACATTGATGTTGTTATCTTACCGTGAAAAGATGGGCTTCTGATATCCAATATTTAGGACAAAATGAACATTTTAAAATTGGCCCACGAATCGCGTGCCAGACTGCTTTCGAGTGTCATTTGTAATGAAGCGACTCAATGAACGAGGCCAATCATATCCCACAAGAGACTACTTCTGGTATAGACTGGAATAGCCAGACGACAAAGACTGTCATTCCATTTGGACTCTTCGCATACTCTGAACATAACTCATTGGAAATTACAACAAAAGCAGAAACGATTGAATGTAAATCAGTTTATATACATTCATATTCCATTATTATATGCGTTGCAACTCATTTGTGTCCATTTCTAGTAGTCAAAGAATAGAGATTTAGCTCCTTTAAGATTATGTTAAGGAAGGGTGTCAGGGCTGTACGTAGGAATATAATAGTATGAATATTTCCCCAATGTATAACGAAGAAAACGGAAATATTTAAGATATGCCAAGGAAAGGTGTCGTTGCTCTCTCTCTATATATATAGTGCTTTACGATTAACTGACAACGAAGGTGAAATGAGAGGCCAAATAATGAGATGCTATGTCTTGAAATGTTCTCTTTAACACCCCCTTCGTTATCAGTTGTAAAGACATTCCGACATTTCAACAATTAATCCAACACGCCCAAACAATACTATAATTATATACTAGATTACACGACATTCTATCAATTCTGTGGCATTGGTGGGTGGCCAAGTAGTCTAACAGTTGTGCTTTTAATCGTCAAGTCTGTCCTGGAGCCTGTAAGTGTCGTGACCCCGCTCCCCCTCGCTCTCCCTCTTTCTATGGCGAAGCGTACAGATATGTGATATAACCTACATTCTACATGTCAATCATATACGTTGTACGTCAAATGATTATATTTTAAAAATAATACTTAAACAGGCATTTTATAAAGGCTAAATCTGCCTATTGCAGGTTTTTTTTCGGGCTGCAAATGATATATAAATAATTATTTAGACATATTAATTAATTCACATGGCAAGCCTACGGATGACTGATATATTAAGTGGATTAGACACTGACTACCGTACATTCGTTAAACTTTATAATAGGAAATCGAGACTTCGTTTATTATCATACCAATACATTAAGTTATGGGATCAGAATAAAGTAAATTGACTGAGAATTTCAATATATTCATTCTTCATTATCTATTTTAAACTATTATAGCAAGAATAGCCATAATTCAACGTTAAACCGCTTTTAAATATGATTGTGTATTATGCCATTTTGTTTTTTTATATCTCCATAATTGGTCAACAAATTATCTGCCAAGCCATCTGTGTATCCTTGCCAAGTGATCTTTGCATCCTTGCCAAGCCATCTGTACATCCTTGCCAAGCCATCTGTACATCTTTGCCAAGGGACACCACGCTAGAAAATCCTAGAATACCTTTCTTTAGCAACTGCAAGTCAATATTTCAGTAAGACATGGTTAAACCAGTTTCTCTGCGTGGCGAAAGTGATAAAACCGCTTTAATCTCGAAAATAGTCGATAGGTAAGTATTTGTCATCCGATGTCAACCGAGTAGTGTGTAATTCTAAACAATATATGGGTGGCTTTCCCGATAATAATTCAAGGTCGTCAGCTAATTGTATTAACTGTGTCACTACAAGTTTTATTTTTATAATATTATGTATCGAATGGCCCATAGTCATTACACAAATCCAAACAGAATACGAAGGCATAGATCAGAATGGTAAATATGTTATCTGCACTGCGATTGGTTGATTTGAACACACCCACTTTTAAGTTCGGGTTGACACGACGTTTTCATTGGTTAATTCTGATCACACCTTTTATAATTTCCATTAGCGTCTGTTAATGGTTTTTTTGGATATGTTAACCTAATTGTGCCAAACCACCTCAGAACAGAAATTTTTAGGATCAGAACAGGACGATTATCATCTCATCATGGCGGTGGCTAAGCGTTTCAAACTTCCAATTTTTATTTTGGTCGCTCAGTTGGCCTTCATCTTAATTTTCGCATTTTTAGCGGAGTATGATAGCACTGCACAGCCCAAAAATACCGATACACTATCGCCAGCCCCGGTTCCACAATATTATCCAAGTAAGTTGAATTATTTCTAATTATTCAATCTATGGGTGGTGGAGAAGATTGGTGCGTAAGACGTTGGATTGCTCACCTTGATGTCGCGACCGGACAAACTTTCCCTTATAATAATAATAATAATATAAAGAATTTATAGAGCGCCTGCATTCCGTAGATTATAAATATAATCACGGAAAATTTTTAGAATTAAAAAGTTTCGTTATTAAAATGTCACCATAATCACTACATAAAACTTTGCTTAAAAAATTCAGTTATTAAAGTCATCACAATCACTACATAAAACTTTGCTTAAATGGCGTATGATTGTATTTTTTGGAACCCTGAAATAGACAAAAATAGTTCTAAAAGCACATATTAATGTAATATGAATGTATGTAAAGTTATTTATATTCAATTTTTTTAAAAACAAATATTGTAATTTCTAGTCAATTGTTTTCAAATTGAATGGCAGTCGTTGACGACTTTTTAGTGCATTCTACACGTTTTTAAAATTATTTTGTCGTTTGTGAATCAGCTTTTCCTAATTACTTCCACAGTGTGTTGTAAGATATGTTTTTATTTGTTCATTACAAAATGTCACGAAATGCTCTAGTTTGTGTTGAATGCCAACATTTCATACATAGTCTTTTAAATGAGGGTGCCACGGTGGTTCAGAGAGTAAGACGTTGTCGGCTAAGACGGAGGTTGTTATATTCCGGTGTTGGCCGACAAAATTCATCGGCATTTTCCGGCTTTGTCGGCGTTGTAGGACGGAGGGTCTGCAAAGGGACAGCGTACAGTCGTTCGGAAGGAACGAAAAACCGAGGTGCCGGGTACACATTGGCATTCACGTAAAAGACCCCTGAAAGTTAGAATGTGAAATAAGAGCATGCCGTACAGCACCTGTTCGAGCAGAATATCTCCCATAGCAGACTGTATGGCGTAATTAGAACAGTGTCGATTTCTTGGGGCGGGGCCCGATATTCAAGATGCATTTACGTATTTATTTCGCCTCGCTCCACTCGGCTAGTCAATTAAGCTTATAAATAGATATTCAGTGCATGTAGATCAAGCTTGAGAGAAGATAAAACTGTCGCTTGTCTAGACATGAAAATGAAACAAAATTGGGCTTCATCTGGATCCTGCTGTTTTGCTACGACTTGGCTAATGAAGACGGCCACACATACGGCATCCAGTGTGCTATGAGGAAAATTTTTCCCGGACAGCGGCGCTAGGGTCTACTCTTACATACACATCGAATTCCAACCGCCAAGGATCTTTTATGAGCACGCCAATGTATACATGGGACCTCGGTTTTTCGTCTTATCCGAACGACAAGACAGCTGTCCTTGTCAAGCCAGCCCTCCGCCCTGCACCACTGAAAAGGGGAAACCACGCCGGAAAATCGCGATGAACTTTCTCGACCAACACTGAGAGCGAACCCGCGACCTCCAGGCTAGCGAGCCAGCATCTTACTCGCTCAACCACCGTAGCTCCCTTTGTCTAGACACAATACATATGCAGTTGTTGAGTTGTCGTGCTGTTCAGTTGTCAAGCGTGAAAAGATGCACTTTGATTTTTTTTGGCTTCCCTGTAGTTACCATAACCTCTTCCAGTATAATATATCATAGAAGTGAGATATAACTTAAACAGTGAATCAGAGTCTGTGCATAGGGGTGTTTATATATCCATCGGAGGAACCCGGAGAACTCGGAAAAAACCCACGATATTGGACAGACGATCTTATTCCTTGTCACCGAAGTTACGCCACTTGACTTAATGACATACCTTATGATCTAAAGCGCACACGTTAAAGCGCACTCGACCCCCCCCCCACCTTAACAGTAAATATGATTTGATTACAATTGTTTGCCTAGCTCCGTTCGGCTACCTTGGTTGGATATATTATATGTTTTCCCTCATAGTACACTGTATGACGTATGCTCATCTTCATTAGCACAGTCAATAAAGAACAATCGGACATTAAACACCATTTCCATTCGTTTCATTTCTTTACGTCCAAAACCATTATTGGCCTGGAGATAAATGGGTGACAGGGTTTATGAAACATTAACATAATCATAATAAATATAAATCGCGGCCTTAGAAACACCATTGAGTTTTCTTATGGGTAACTTAACTTAGTTTTAGGCAGCAAAGAATATATAAAAAAAGGGACCCTGACATTGAATAAAAGTACGGGGCGTTGAGAAAATACTATAATGGTGATAATATTGTGAATTGTTGGTATTTCCTTCTTTCAATATCATTTGTTCATCATTCATTCTTTCATTTAAACATTTCTATTTTTCTTATGTTTCTATTAATCCTGCGTGTTAATTAGACGTTAAGCTACTTATCTAATGACAGACAGTTGACAGCTGACACATTAATAGATTTAATAACTATCTTATTGTTTATTTGTGTATATGTGTATATGCTTGATAACGACTTGTGGAACCTTGTTGAAACGTCGCAGTGAAATAAACCATAGTAATTGTTATCCATAAAAGTGTGTTTTTGATTTTGCTTATTGTTTATTTCATTGTAATGTCTTTTATATTTTAATCCTACCTCTTTAATTGTTATTAGTAGCATTGGTGTATATTGTTAATTCCTTAGATACTGGGGGGTTGGATGGCTGAATGGTTAGCGTGCGCGCGCTGTATCATAAAGTCTGTCATTGAGTCGACTGGCGTGGTTTCGAATCCCCGGTTGTACGTGACAAGGAATAGGGTCGCCTGTCCAACCTCGTGGGTTTTCTCCGGGGCCTCCGGTTTCCTCCAACTGCTAAAGACCCCTACGCGCAAGCGAATTATGTAAATAAAATTAAACCATATGTTAGTCCCGAAATGACCTAGTTTGTGTCGAGTGGACGTTAAACCCATCTCTCTCTCTCTCCCCTTAGATACCATTTTATTATAAATACCGATTTGTACATTGATATAGCATTCTAGGTTTCATCCCGTTTCCAGGACAGTTACTCTGCTTGTCGGACGTGCTGTTCTCCGTATATGATGTTAAAAGTTTTCCGGTAATAAATAGTCTCAAGGATAGTTCCAGTCTTTAGTTATTATCGAAGATTTACACTGTTACAATACGATTCCATTTTGTATCCAAATAATAGAAATACTCGAACAATAGACCCGATTATCACATAGATAAACCATGTCACTGAATTACAAACGAAATCAAGTCATGGTCGTTTTATTGAAAGTAAATGTGGTCTCTTTGAAGTCAACAAACCTATTATAAGAAAGAATTGCGTACTTTAACCGACAAACACGATACGAAACTGATCGCCTAATCGGAAAGAATGTTAACAAAAGGATATCGTTAGAAAGACCACGGAAGTTTCTTGCCGGATAATGTGTCGGCAACCACATCTTAAGCATTTAGATTATCGAATTTGTATCTAGCCAATCGGACAACTTCAATAGGGCGTATGGAGTATTGGAACACGTCGTTGCTACCTGATCCTGATTACATTTTATGTATTATGGCACGGATCGTAACGCTCTGGGTATAGTCATCCAGATTGTACGAATATCCGAGGTCCCATGTATACATTGGCCTGCAAGTAAAATAAGTCATGACAATTGGAATTCGATATAAGAGTAGATCGTAGCATCGCCCTCGTAGCACATTGTGTGACGTATGTCCGTCTCCATTAACCCAGTCGGAGCTGAACAGCGCGACGTTAAACCCCATTTCATTCTATTCCATTTCGTAACACTCTGGCAAGATTTACTCCAGTTTGCATAAAGATATTATCTGAACTAACTATACGAAATCTAACAGAATATTATAAGCAAACTAAAATTAATTATTTTGGAAGTTTCTCTAATATAAGAACGGTATATACCAGTATAGGTGGCAAAAATATTCATTTGTTTGACATAAATCAGAGGAGGAAAATGCGTGTACCTTTCGTAGCAGAAATTGAAAAGGGTCGCTTACAGAACTTGTACTGCTGTACAAATACATTAAACCCAGGTCACACCAAAACAACGTGTTTATTAATTCATGGACAGGAGTTATACACCACCTTGACGTACAATTAGGCCTGGTCACGTGTCATATGTAAACAATATCCCTTAAAACAGATACTACAGAATTCAATGGTCATTGTAAACTTATACATAAATCTACATATAATTTGGTTTTAGAAACACTAATACGAAATATACCTCCACGTATATTATTGTGTGACGCCTTAAAAATTTAAATTGTATCTTTATGGGAATCTGTAGTGGTTCAGTGAATACAGCGATGGATCACTATTCCCGGTGACCCAGATTCGATCCCGGGATTGACTGAGAAAGTTCTAAGGGATTTTAACAGAGTTGCTTCCCCTTGTCAGTTGTACAGGACGTGGGGCCTGGTGAGGCAAAACATCAACTAATCGCTCGCACGGGACGAAAAGCTGCGTCCCCGTGTACACGTTGGCAATCCCATCAAAAAATGTATGAGCGTTGAAATCCCATGAAGACTGGGCTGATTCGTCGCTGTCCGGCTTCATTGGCTCGATTGACGCAGAAATGTAGTAGGTTTACCCCATTTCATTTTACAACTTGATGTGTACATAGCGTGTTTAGTCATTTCATGATACTTTATTGTTGTCACCCTGTTTTGTCGTGACTAGTGGATGTGATTGAAAGGGTCGAGCACCTACTGAGCTCTGACATAATTTAAACATGCTCTATAACAAGGGTCGATGTTGAATGTCCGACCTTGGACTTTGAATACTGAAATACTACATCATGCTCTAACCTACCGGGGCGGATATTTGGTTAGGGAGCAAAGGGTCTCTCTGAGAACATTAAAAGATAACCGTGGTATTACCTACATCACCAATTTGTTTAACAGAGGAGCCAAGGTGGCCCAGTGAGTAAGATGTTGGCTCGCTAACCTGGAGGTCCCGTATTCCGATAAAGTTCATCGGGATTTTTCTGCGTGGTTCCTTCTTGACAGTGCTGCAGGACCGATGGCCTGGCAAGGGACAACGTATAGTCTTTCGGATTGTATGGAAAACCGAGGCCCCGTGTACACATTGGCGAGCACGTAAAAAATCCCTTGGCAGTTGGAATTCGATATACCCATTTACACCAAATATGGAATGTTTTTTATCCAGATGCACGTCAAACACATTTTTCTAATACTCCAAAAAGCCTTTATTGAATTTAATTAGCAGAAAGAAAAAAGTTAATATTGTGAGTTAACTAACTCGCACAGATGTTATCCCTCTTAGTGATTATGCTACATCACCTCACCCCACCACCCCCACCAGAATCCGCTACTACCTTTATACATAACATTTTGACCAACAATGTTACGGATTTTGAGGACAAGATCTTTGTAAATAAGTTAAAGTGTTTGTTGGGGAAGACTAGGTAAACAGAGCCATTTGTCCTCTAGACCAGCTCAAATAGAAAACTACGGCCGAGTATGCGTTTCAAACAAAATTTAATCTCCCCTTACAATGTAGACATACAGATAAGTTCCATAAATCTCGGTGTCTTAATTAATGATTTGAAGCGGTGGTTTGATTGTCAACACGAAACTGTGGTTTAATGAAATGAAACGAAATGGGGTTTAATGTCTCACTGTTCTGCCCCGACTGGGCTTATGAAGACGGGACAGCGGTGCTACGTCCTACTCTTATATCGAATTCGAACTGTTAAGGGATCAAACCCCCGTGACCTCCAGGCTAGCGAGAGAGAGAGAGAGAGAGGGGGTTTAACGTCCACTTGACAAAAACTAGGTCATTTCGGTACTAACACATGGTTCAATTTTATTTCAATAATTCGCTTGCGCGTAGAGGTCTTTAGCAGTGGGAGGAAACCGGAGGACCCGGAGAAAACCCACGAGTTGGACAGGCGACCCTACTACTTGTCACGTATAACCGGGAAATCGAAACCACGCCTGTTGACTCAATGACAGACCTTATGATACAGCGTGCACGTCTAAACCATCCCCCCTCCCAGGCTAGCGAGCCAGCGTCTTACTCACTTAACCACTGTGCCCCCAACCCCACCCCGGGCTAATAAAACATTTTCTATGACAGCGTCATTTCCACCAACGTTTTGTCGAATTCAAACTGCCAAGGATTCGTTTACGTGCAGGACAACGTGTGCACGAGATCATCAGAACGACCAGACTCGCTGTCAAGCATTACAGACAAAGGAAATTTCTGGGCCATCATTGGGATCTGACCCGAAACCTACTGATTGGGTTTCCAGCTCGTTCCTCTACGGCCCATCGTGTTTAGCAGTGAGCAGGGTTTAAAGAAAGTGTTTAATTCGTTAGTGTCTATTTGGTGGACACGTTCTTAAAGCGGCAAGCAGACACAGGTCAAGGATGCTCCTGGCTAAAAAATATTATTGAAAATAGTGCAAAGGGGGCATACTCTGGTCAATGTATGCCAATATCCTTCCTGATTACCTTATAGAAACTAACTGTGAAATTGTATTTCCCTGTGGTTAAATTCTACCCATCATGTTTATTAAATGGTACACAAATTTAAAGCGATAACTTTTCTAAGAAAGTCAAAACATAATTATTTCTATGTCTTTTGCTCATTAGGTTGTCAACAAACTATTATACGGTCATAGGTATTATTCTCCAAATTTAAAATCCTTTGACCCCGGAAATAATAACACAATTACCCCCCTTGTTTTTCTAACCCCCCCCCCCTGGAATAGCTATCTTCAAACGTTTGAATTTAAAGTTGAAAATGACATTTTTGCCAATTTCTCAATTGGCAATAGTGAATTATAGGATTAATAGGATTATTCTTTAACAAGGTAGGACTGTTTATAGATACCATCTATTTTAAGGCTTTATTTTAATAAATTTTAAAAATATAACTTAAAAATATGAAATTGCAACTTTAAGGCCGCGTTAATATTGGGTATCTGGGTACCTGGATGCACCCGCACCCCACCTCGGTGTCTTTTCAGGACTAACATATAATTCAATTTTATTTCTGTAATCCGCTTGCGCGAAGGGGTCTTTAGCAGTTGGAGGAAAGCGAAAGATCCGGATAAATCAAACGAGATTGGAAAAACGACCTTATTGTATTGACGGGGACGTTAAGCCCAATTTCATCCCATTCTCTGCTAGAATAATGTTTCATGAAAAAAAAACTGAAAAATTTTGTTTACGAATATTAATTTTAAAATAAATGTGATATACTACAGATAAAAAATGTATCCCGTGTTATAAAGGGCGTGACATGATACACAAAAGAGTATCTTAAATAGGTTATTCTGATAAACACAGTCTATGAAACCTTAAATATGCAGTAATATGAGTTGACATACGAACATAAAGTAAGATCATATATTACCACGGTTAGGATAATATACTATCTTGAGAATCGATGAATGATAATAACTTAAGTTAAGCTGTGACGACTTTACAGAATAATCGACAATTTGGTACAGTAAACCTGAATTGTAAACATTGTGGAGAAGTGTGTTACAAGATTTAGATAGCTTTAAAACAAATTCGATATAAAAAAAAAGTGGTGTTAACGTCCTACTTTTTTTTTACCAACGGTTGTTTTTGTATTGGGCGGAGAGGGGTTTCAGAGAGTGTGTATGTGGGGACGGAGCATTCTGCAAACATAGATCCATCTACTTCTGTCCTGAATGGCCACCATATCCAAAAATTAGTATATTGTTTTGTAATGCGGTTCTAGACATTTTCACATCTGGCATACACAATTTCGCTCAACTAGCTTAGTGTCTGTTCTGAAGCGGAGCTAACTGTAGACAGGCAGTCGGAGTTTAGTATGGGGAGGAAGAGGTAAATTTTATGACGTGCACTAATGACAGTTCCCTTGCCAGTTGGCTGAACACGTGATTGTCTGAAGATCGAAAAGACGAGCATGAGCAATGCAATAAACTATGAGATTTGTTGTCCCATCTGAACGACTATACACTGTTCATTGCCATGCCTCCAGTCCTGCATCATTGACAATTGAAATCCACGCTGGCCAACACCGGAATCGAACACAGGGCAAGCAGGGTAACTTTCTCGGCCAACACCGGGATTGAACCAGAGACCCCCTTTGCTAGTGAATCAGTGCCTAACTTACTGTCCCGGGTTTAATCAACTGACTAATTTTACACTCCGAGGAAATAAGTTGGGTAGGGCATTGTACAAGAGCCTTTGCTAAACAACCTGAAAACCTTTAAAACACGTGTACTAGCCGTTAGTATTATGTTAGTTTTTCACAATGATGAGGTTATATGTGGCAGTATTTAATTAGTATTGGGTGGTATTGGGTAGTATTTGGTGGTATTAGGCAGTATTTAAGTAGTATTGGGTGGTATTGGGTAAGTCTTCCCGCCATAAGTTATGTACTAATATGTACGTTAGCATCTATGTTAAATTGTAGAATCTACGTATATTACGTATTGTGCGGTAGAATGATGTACCATTTTTGTACATACGAATCTTCTTTTATTACCCTTTAACGTCCGCTTAATTAATTATGCTTCGCGCACGCAGGGTCTTTCTTGGGGGGAAACGGAGGTTGAGAAGGGGACCCTATCCCGAAGCCACATGCGCTTACAACATAGATCGAAGCCACGACCGCAAGCCATAAAGAGGTCACAATCTATAGACCACTAGGTCATCCCATCCCCCACCTACGAATCTATACTGTCTAACAGAATCAAAACGTTTATGGATGTTATTATACTTTCAGTGTTTCAAGATGTGCACGTGATGATGTTTATTGGTTTTGGCTTTCTGATGACGTTTTTAAAGCGATATGGATTTAGCGCTGTTGGTATTAATATGCTGATAGCAGCTTTCTGCTTGCAATGGGCTACCATAGTTCGAGGTTTTATACATAGTGATATTTTAGGCGGAGAAAAATTCAAAGTTCACGTCACGGAGTAAGTGTTTCATTCTGTACATTTGAATAAATCAAATAACTGTTTAAGGAACGATAAAGAGGCATTATTATGCGAGAGCTAAACTTGCCTATTGTCGGATGTGGTTTGGCTTCAAGTTATTATTTAGAAATTTATTCATGTGATAAGCCAATAATGAACTCTTCACACTATCGTGTGACTTAGATGGCAGGTTTTGCAAATTAAAGGACTGATAATAGAGATTTCGTTTACATTATCATGACAGTTGAACTGACCTTTTCAAAATATTAATATTTTATTAAACATGTATTATGCAAGAGCTAATTCTGTCCATTGCAGGTCTGAAATGTTATCTAAATAATTAATTAGGCATTAAGTAACTTATCCAGACCATAATCAACTCTCGATGCCATCGTTAGTCTGAGATATTAAAATTTAGTGGATTTGAATACATTTTGTGATGGATTATTTAACGTAAAAATGAATAATTAAATCGAGACTTTGTTTATTATCGTACTTTAGTAATGAGGATAGCCTAAAATTGAATCGCTAATATCTCGGTTCAGAGTGAAGCAATTGGACTGAAATTGTCAGCATATTCTGTTTTCATTATCTTTTACTGCTAGACCTGTCAGCTCTTTATCTAATCTTACCTATTGCCCCTTTAGAACAAACACGGCCTGTTCGTTTTTAAAATACGTAAAATAGTCCTTAACAGTTAGGCCTGACAAAGACAGCTGTCTAGTCGTTCGGTTGGGACGAAAAACCGAGGTCCCGTGTACACTTGTGCGTGTACACCACAGTTGGAATTCGATATAAGAGTAGGCCATAGTGCCGCTGTCCGGGCAAAATTCCCCTCATAGCACACTGTATGGCGTATGCCCGTCTTCATTAGCCCAGTTCGGAGCAGAACAGTAGGACGTTAAACCCCATTTCATTTCATTTCCTTAACATTTACCAGATGAAGAGTAGGTTGGAAACACCAATGTCTGGGCAAAATTCCCCAATCGTATTTTACACGTGTCCATAGAAACAACACTTACTTTGTGTTTTGTTTTAAATATGATCGAAGTATTGGGTCTCTAAAACGAATGTTAGTCCATAAATGGTTCTGTCCTGTTCAGTATTTATAAAGATATGATCAATTGAAAAATATCCCGACAATATCTTACAGACAATATGAAGAAGTAAGGGACTAAAGTGTTGTTTTAACTAAAGGCTCATTTAAAATCTAGCTATTTTATTAATTCCTTCATTCTGATTACAGGATGCTCTCTGCTGATTTTGCCGCGGCTACTGTTCTGATCTCGTTTGGAGCTCTTCTAGGTAAAACCTCACCGCTACAGTTATTAATAATGGCCACCATAGAAATAATATTAGCCCAGATTAATGAATATATTGGTGTTGATATATTCCATGTAAGTACTAGGCCATATGTATTCCTTACTATGTCTAACCGTCATTTGAACAAATGTGAACTAATAAATCATACCGTGAGCCTTGGTGGCCCAGTGTGTCAGGCGCTGTATTACTCCAGGAGGTCCGGGACGCAATCCCGGCAATGGTCGAGAATGTCCCAAAGATTTCCCTGCGAGAGAGAGAGGGAGAGAGAGAGAGAGAGAGAGAGAGAGAAAGTGAGAGAGATGGGGGTTTAACGTCCACTTGTCACAAACTAGGTCATTTCTGGACAATTTTATTCCAGTACTTCGCTTGGGCGTACGGGTCTTTAGCAGTGGGAGCAAACAGGAGAACCCGAAGAAAACCCACGAGGTTGGACATGCAACCCCACTTCTTGTCACGTACAAGCGGGGAATCGAAACCACGCCACTTGACTCAATGACAGACCTTATGATGCAACACACACGCGTTAACCATTCGGCCACCAACCCACAGATTCCCCAGCGTTGTTTCCCGATAATGGTGCTGAACGGAGGACGTGTACACGTAAAAGAACCATTGAAGGCTGGAATTCCGGGTAAACATTCCCCCATAGCATCCTATATGGCGTATGTTTGCCAGACCTGCGAAAGCAAAACAGCAGGAGCTTAAACCCCATTTCATATGGCACCGTGTCAAAACTATATGTGATTATTGTATTTTATATTATAGGCTGTTGATATTGGAGAGTCTATGTATGTCCATGTGTTTGGTGCGTATTTTGGTTTAGCAGTGGCTAGAGTTCTATTTAATGAAGAAGTCGAGTCATCTAATAAAGAAGGGTCTGTTTACCATTCTGATATATTCGCTATGATAGGTTGGTATTATTTCTTAAATTTCTTAGCGTCTTTAATAGTTAATCAATTGATTTTTTGAATCCCTTAAAAGTACAATATTGTAAAAGTTGACCCTCTAAACGGAATAACTGTCCAAAACTGGTTCAATTGCATTCATTATTTACAAAGTTGCAGGTGCGGACTTAAAGTGTGGGGGGGGGGGGTCATGAAACAAAGTAAGTGCCCCCTTGAGACCAACGAAGCGCCCCCAATTTTCTCAAAAAGCAATAACAATCATAATATGACATGAACTTAATGTGAACATAAATAAAACTGCTTTCCAGCGAGATGACGATTAGCGAGCAACTATATAGGCAATCCTATCTATGTTCTATCAGAGCGCTCAGTGTTATAGACAGTATTTTGTTTCATGTCGATCGATTAGTAGTTGGGGCGGAATTTCTCGTTCAAAAATGCAGCCAATCATAAAAGTTGAAGCCAGTATATAATTCTATAGAGTAATAATGCACGTGACGTAACAAACACTGAATCTGAAATGATAGCTAGGTTATTCCATTCGTTCACTGGAACTTTATTCTACTACCTCTTTAGACAGATTCCTGTCAAGTGATTTCTAATACCTATCTAATCTAATCCATCATACAGGTACGATTTTCTTGTGGTTATATTGGCCGAGTTTTAATGGTGGTGCTGCAGAAGGCGATGAACAACACCGGGCTGTATTAAATACGTACTTCTCATTGGCTGGTTGCTGCATCGTCACTTTTGCCATTTCCGGCTTGCTGGATAAAAAGGGAAAATTCGATATGGTAAATATAAATAAACTTCTAGAACTTTTACTGACAGATATCTAAACGGGGATCTGTTGTTTGACAGACGCGGTTTACTATGCAAATCTTAAAGATAAATTATCACCTGGCTGCTGGAATTCAAGATAGATGAGCTAGAAACACCGCCTCCATAGATATTAGTCTAAAAAATCACCAAGATTGTGTCCGGGAAATATTTCCTTCATCGCACCCCGCTTGGCAAATTCCCGTCTTCTTTAGCGCATATTTTTTGTATTTCTTTTCTAACACTATTTATTCATCTTATACAGCTTGTCCGGAGCCTGTCCCAGTCCCTTCAGATCTTGAGGCCCTTGGCTTCAGCATGGCAAGTCTGTAGTTACATGTATACCCAGCACTGCCTATGACGTTTTATTCGATTGTTGTAGGAGTATTATATTGAACTGTCTTACCTTGTCGGTATTATATTTCACGTAATTATATCACATACACGATCCTTTCTTTATCAGGTTCATGTACAGAATGCAACATTAGCAGGCGGTGTTGCTGTTGGTACCTGTGCTAACATGCCCATGGAGCCGTGGGGTGCTCTGGTTCTCGGTTCTGTGGCGGCGATCATTTCTGTAATAGGATATAAATATATAACGGTAGGTAAACGTAAATTTGGCTATGAACAGCAAAGGTGGGATGGGGCGAATGGTTTAACGCATGCGCTTTAGATCATAAGGTCTGTCATTGAGTCAAGAGGCGTTGTTTCGATTCCCGGCATTGTACGTGACGTGACGGTTTTCTTCGTGTCCTCTGCTTTCCTCCCACTGCTTAAGAGAATTATTGAAATATAATTGAATCATATGTTAGTCCCGAAATAACCCAGTTTGTGTCGAGTGGACGCTAAACCCCTTTTCCTCTCCCACTCTATACGCAGCAACATCTGCTAAATGTGTAATTTGTTATCAGACAGTAAACGATGTTTTCCAGTTATGAATAGCCATGGCACTTGCTCACCAACTAGGACGTGTCGAGTTCGATATTGGCAGGAAAGTTTCTCTTGATTTGCAGGTCTGGTTCACCAGTTCAAAAACCCATGTCAGCAGGAATTCGACGAAGCGTAGTCGGAGACATTCCTGTCCTTTCAAAATTAAAGCGCATTTCACACTTCTCCGGTTGTATTCTCAATAACCTCTTTAGAATACTTGAAAGCGGGGATGTAGCTGTTTGTTTAATGCATCTTATCTACTTTTATTTGTTTTCAGCCTTTCCTGTCAAGTAAATTACGTCTCCATGACACTTGCGGTGTCAATAATCTTCACGGTATGCCCGGTATATTGGCGGGAATTGCTGGAGCTGTCATGGCGGCCTTAGCAACACAAGACAAATATGGCGAAAGGTAAGTCTGTATTCCCATCTAAACATGGGACAAAATGATGTGTGTCTGACAAATTAATATGTACGACAATATTATTATTCTAATATTAATAATATTATTCTACTTTCAGTTTGTTCGAGGTTTTCCCTGCTCGTGCCCCGGAAGCTGATAACACCACTGTTGTTGGTGCTGTTACTGGACTGGGTCGAACTGCTGGTAGTCAGGGTGGTTATCAGGCAGTGGCGTTAATAGTTAGTTTAGGAATTGCAATTGTTGGTGGTCTATTGACAGGTAAGCACGGTGTAGAATCAATTTTCTAGAAATACTCGAACCGAAAGCACTCATTGTACAATATCCTCAACATTCGATATTTGCGCAACATTTATTAATAAATTGGGGCAATAAAGGGCCGCGAACAAATGTGCTCTCCAGTAACCTTGGGACTAGACTTTCCAGTAAAATGGACCGAATTAACGTGTGTGTATCTCGGTGAGAGTCGAGAAGGTCTTGTCATGGGAGGCGTCTGTGTGGCTGACAGGAGGAAACCGCACCGGAAAATGCCGAGAAACTTTCTCGGCAAACACCTCCAGCGAACCCGAGATCTCCTGATCTGCGAGCCAGGGTCTAACTTACTGAGTCACAACTTCCTCACTAGAGTAAATAAACATGGGCTTATACGATCATATATAGGCCTGATACTAGCTCCTTCTTATGAAGCCAGTAATCAACTGTACCAAACGATTTGGAAAATCAAATTTAGAATTACTGATCCGCTACTGATAAAGGGGACGTGGGGGTGGTTGCTGAATGGTTTAGACTTAGCCTCCCTCTCTCATCACCAGATCGGTTCTCTTGTTTCAGGTTTGTTATTAAAGATTCCATTCTGTGACAACGTGAGAGAACGACATGCATTATTCGAGGATGAAGAACAGTGGAATCTACCGGAAGAGGAAGTCGCCTTTTTGGATCGAAATTATGAACAAATCAATAAGAACGTCGACACCAAAATGTAAGGATATTAACAAAACAATGTGTTTGAGAAAATGTTCGTCCGAGAAAAAATAATACTCTAGATTATCAAAACGTTCAGCTTCATCTCTCAACAAGGGTACCTCAATATGTGTAAATACGTACAAAGAAAATTCCTAAAAGTTCGCCATTGTTATTATCGGAAACACTTTTTTAAATTATTTTTCTTGAAGGAGAATAATTTTGAAGGCACAGTGGAACATAACAAAATTATATAAAATTAGGCCTATTATAGCTGTCTTAGATACAAAGCTTTATTTGATTTGAAGGAACAGTTAGATATAGATATAGAACAATTAGACCTACTTTATCTGTTTTAAGTAGCAAATGAACATTTATTCTCCCTGGATACAATTAGGCTTACCTTATAAGGACAATTAGATGCAAAAGAACTGGCCATACGTTATCTGTTTTAAGTATATCTTACTTATAGAACAATTAGATCTACATTATGCGGCTTCTGAAAAGATTACCTGCCAATGTCATGATGTTTCCATTTTATTTCATTGATAACCATAATAATATATTAGAGGAGATTTATTATTTATTGTAGCAGATGTTAACAATATTATATTATATAATATCAATCATGGTCCCAAACCAGAAATTAACAAATACTCAAAATTTCCCAAAAGCTAACTTTTAAAATCGCCATTACTAACTTATTAATATTATATAGTCGAATATATTCAATCAGCATTTAATGTATTTGTCATTGTATGTACCTTGAAGGAATCTAGAAGAGATCTCCTCTTTCTGTCGAATCTCCCTTTGTTTTACAGTTTTTTTATGTGCTTACCGAACTAAAGCTTGATCGTACAAGTATTCTGTATAAATTGTTATAGTATCAATAGATATTTATTTTTTGTCCAAGTTTAATATTAGTTATGTAGTGAATTAATAATAGATAATGCTACTTCTCGGGAAACAATACGTCGATATAGCCAGAAATATTGCCCACATTTAAAAATGTCGAATTCTCGCTTCTAAGTTTCAAGGGTCTTTGATAATTTAAACAAAAGTTCGCTGTTTTAAACGTGTCCGGCTATTGTATTAGGTTTAAAGGGTCTTCGGTATTTAAACAAAAGTTCTATGTTTTGAAGGTCGTATCAGAATAATGTTTTAAAAAAACACAGAATTTTTGTTTCTTTTTCAGACGACTTCTGCAGTAATAAAAAAAGTAGGTGTTTTGTTTTGTTGGTGGTGGGGTTTTAAAATTAATACTGAGCGATTCTAGCAAACGGTAGGTACAAAATTGCGAATCGACCATAATCGATCAAGAAAATCGATTTTCGATGTCGTGCAGATTGATTATCGATGGAATGATATTGGACAGATCGCTATGATCTATGACAGATCGGTTATCGATGGTTACGATATAGGGCAGATCTGTTATTGATGGCTACGATATATATTATGACAGATCGATTATCGGGGCTTGCGATATTTGACAGTAACTGTTTCGTTATCTATGACTACGATAGAGAAGAAATCAGACGAAATTGGTAGTAAAACGTGAACGATCATCGGATTTATTTCTGTTGGCGAAAAGAGCCGTTGTTTTAGCACGGAAATATCTTCCTTCCTGCTCCACCCAATGGAAATAATTTTCTACGGGTTATGAGGAGTATACGGACATTTAATTCTACTTTTTAAAGCGAGAACATTTGGTTTCATAAATGTTTTTTTTGTCAGTCATTCTTGATTCAAGAAAATGACAACCAAACCGTCGCTAAAATTTCTCAGTATGAAAACCACGCTTACGAACTCCAGCACACAACGTTTTCGTCGGGTTTGTTACCCATTCAAAAGACTTGAAAGCTGTATGAAAATCGCTTATTGAGCGTTGCTCCCTTCCAACTGAAGTATTAAAGCCGCTGGTTATCATGAGAATGATTTTGAATTCCTTGCCAACTACCATATGGTGCAAATTTAATCTCCTACAGTAATACCAGTTCAAAAATGGTCCAATTCTGTTCAGTATTTGTAATAGATTCAAATTTCATCTTCTGTGAACGTTACAAACAAGACATTGGTACCTCTTAGTGTACGGTGAAATCTTTAAATTTACTTCTTTTTATCTCATTGAATCCAATTAACGAATTCTTGATTAATGTTAAATAATCAATTAGGTACATTTTCCCATGCATTAGGGTACATGTTACCATTAATTAAGGTACATGTTACCATGAATTAGGGTACATTTTACCGTGAATTAAGGTACCTTTTACCGTGAATAAGGGTACATTTTTTACCGTGGATTAGGGTACATTTTACCATGAATAAGAGTACAATATACTATGAATAAGGAAACATTTTACCGTGAATTAGAGTACATTTTTACCGTGAAAAGGGGTACATTCACTTTACCGTGAAGTAGGGTCCACTACCGTTAATTAGGGTACATTTTACCCAGAATTAGGGTATTGTTGATATTGTCCTAAAAATGCAAATAGTAACCAGCGGCTTTCAAAATATATCTGACAAATGGTGTTAAATATTGTTTATGTAATGGCGTTTGAATGGAACATTGAATTACTAAACCTACTAAACCTAAAATTTGCATGCTGTTTTAAAGGATATTATTTAATTTACGTACTTGTTAAAACTGTTAATTGTTTCACATTGCATCTCACTACGATGCTTTTCACTCCGTTATTATCTATATTTAACCTCCAATGATTTTGTTGGAAAATAGTCTGATCTTGTCAAATTATGTTAATTTATGTCTGAACAATTAAATAAGGTATTAATTAATTGTATTCCCATTTTATGAAACCATGGTCCAGGAGCTTTATCGATGAAAATTTAAACTAAATTATTTATAAGAATGCAACCTTTTATATAATTATTGGCTAAATTCTAAAATTTGCATTAAGATTTTCATGGAAAGGCCGCATTCTTTAAACATTTTATTTGATTTTTTCATGAATAAGGTTCCCTGTGAACAATCCCAAAACTTCAATCTTAGCTATTTCAGAGATTTTGAATGCCTCGAAAACTACAAAATTATGAAAGTTGAATCTCTAAAAGGAATATATTATTGTGTTGATATTTTGATGTCGAGATTAAAATAATCGATATGAATATATTTCATTTTAGCCCTGAAAAATTAGATATTGTCTGGAAAATAACAATAACTGTCAACGACTTTACTAAATTGGACATTGATCGTGCATGTTAAATAAATGTTTAATTCCATCTTTTCAAGTTATTTAAGTATAAAATTGAACATTAATCGTGCATCGCCTAAGTTTAATAAACCATCTCTTCAAGTCATTGAAGTATAAAATCAGATTTTGCATTTGTTTTTGTTTTTTATTTACTGAATATGTTATTTTATATACAAATTCTAATTAATGGTCTGCGCTTAGCTTACGTATATATTCTTTGAGTGGTATTTAGCAATTGACACATGTAATAAACACATAAACGTAATAAAGAACACAATTAGCATTTGAATAATTATTTTAATTAAAGCGACGTTTCTTTGGAGGCTTCTTCCAACGCTATTAAGCAAATGAATTAATTGAAATAATAATTGTGTTCCATAATAAAATTATGCTTTTGTGTTCCATATTATACTTTTTGTGTTTATGGCATATATGTATGAAAATTAAAATGTTGAGGAAAGAAACACACTATTATCGGGCTAGCGCTTTCAGTTCCACCGGAACATCATTAGGCCTTTAGTACACATTGTATTCTCCGTTAATCATTACCTAATAATAGAATGAAACTCAAAGCGCTAGCCGCATAATACTGCTTGTTTTTTTCCTCAACATTTTAATTTATTTTAATTGTCATATTATATTATGTTATATATAATACATTATTTATATATCTAGTTATATTAAAATATATTCATTGTGTTTATATTCATATCATAATCATGTTATAATAAATGTAATTATAAAATATATATCATAGTTTGTTAATTGTTCGTCTCACAGATGTATCATATTGAGACTTATCAAACACGGTGACTCGTGTATTGAACTTTAACTTAAAGTAGCTAAGTCTCTAACTCAATATCATTCAAAGTCTTCGACATGGAAAACACAAATTATTTGTCTATTTAAATCAACATTGATGTTGTGATCATACCGGGAAAAGATGGGCTTCTGATATCCAATATTTAAGATAAAATAAAGATTTTACCATTGGTACACGATTACCATAATGCGTTTCTTCGCCATTTGTAACAAGGGACTCGAAGAACAAGGCTAGACATATTCAACAAGTCATGTCAAACGGTGACGGCATATTCTTATCTGGAGAGCATGCATGCGCAATAAATACTGGAATGACCAGACGATAGAGATTGCCATTCGATTGAGACTTCTGGCGTATTTCGATGAACATAACTGATTAGAAATTCGAGTAAAACAGAAACGATTGAATGCAAATCAGTTTATATACATTCATATTACATTATTATATGCGTTGCGACCCATTTGTGTCAATTTCGAGTTCCCAATTATTAGCCATTTAGATCCTTTAAATAAATTATATAATATTATATTCCGTCTAAAATGGTTGAATGAATGCGCGTCTTATTATGTTGGGAACCACGGTGGCTCAGTGGGTCACTCGGCAAACCGCTGTAGACTCCATAGTACCCTAGATCTAGCCGTCCGCCATTGGAACTATTTTCATGTTCCTGGATTACCAACGTCATTATGTTGGGAACCACGATGGCTCAGTGAGTCACTCTGCAAACCTCAGCAGACACCAGTACCCTACATCTAGCCTCTGGTGTATGACGAAGTCCGCCATAGGAATTACTTTCAAGTTCCTAGATTACCAACGGCGTCGCCCATGACGACGCCTTATTTGAAGAATGTTTTATCATACAAAGCTTTCAAAGTCTGGAGCTGCTTTTCTTTCAAGTTTATCCGATTTTCTTTAAACAAGGACAACTTTGCACTGAAAATTCTAAACACTATTCGAACGACGCAATTTTGAGAACTTCTTTTTAAAAGCAGGAAGTTTTCCTCATAAGTAAACCGAGGCTAGATGTAGAGTACCGGAGGAATCTGCCGAGGTTTGCCGAGTGTCAGTGAGTAAGACCTTGACTCGCTAACCTGAAGGTCTCGGGATTACTCTCGGTGTTGGCCAAAGAAGTTTCTCGGGATTTTTCCTTTGTGGGTTGCTCTGCCAAGGAAAAGTGTCTAGTCGTTTGGATGGGACGAAAAACAGAGGTTTCGTCTACACATTGGTGTGCAAGGACAAAACACCCTCGACAGTTGGAGTTCGAAATAAGAGTAGGCTGTAACGCCGCTTTCCCGGCAACATTTCCCTCATAACACATTGTATGAGTGCGGGGAGCTGCAGTGTCTCAGTGACAAAGGCGCTGGCTTACTAACCATTCGGTTTCGGGTTCAATCCAATTGTTAGCCGAGTAGGTTCCTCGGTTAATTTTGGAGATAATTTTTAAAGAAAAATGTTATCACCTTATTTTGCTGCTAAAAAAAACATTATTGGTTTGTTGACCGCACGGGTGGTGGAGTTGACCTCACGCATCGGTTAACCTTAGTTTAGTTTATACTGGTCTAAATCTGTGTCAACTAGTAATATTTTGGCGTAATATAGTATGTCATAATACATAGTTAACATAGTTAATACAAGCGATGTCGAGGTCACGGCGGCTACCGCGAGTGCAACAATGTCAATTTGCAGCTTTACTTAAAGGACCGGTCTGGTTTGTGTGACCTATCGATATCACACAGCAGCTATCAAGTGCTAGCTTTGTCTGTAACTATATTATTTTAAATTTTAAAGGGGCTATAGCTAGTACCTTCCTTATCTTTGTTCACATTTACTTGGTTAATTCAATAATTAAATTTGGGTTCGGATTAGCATATAGCTATAATGTTGAGGTCAACCAGAAAGAGATCGGCCGTTACAAGTAAAGTTCAGTGTTCCCAGCAAGACACTGGCGCTGTACCTCCAAAAAAGGCCCAGGACAAAGCAGAGCAAGGCGACAAGACCTTTATTCAGCTTACAAATTTTTCCTATTGCTTTGGTTCCCAAAAGCTCTGGCGGGTGGAAACTAATTACTCACTAATCATATCCGCATTGATGAAGATAATTCCAGTGTTAAATATTCGTCTTTTGACAGTGTGCTCCAAATGATAGCATCCCTATGGGAAAATGTTATGGAAAATGGATATAAAATCCGCTTTCCGCTTGCTTCTCGTTCATCCGGGCGACTTTGATATGCTCTATACCACTTTCCTATCTACCCGTAATACATTTACACCCTCCAAACTCAACCATTCTAGGTCTTTTATTATATTTACCGGACTAAATGGAATGTGCTGTATCGTTTCCGTTATTCGAGACATTTTCCAGATTTTTACAATGGGTAGTTACAGTAATTCCTGAGATTGTCAGGGCCTCCTGAAGGCGTTTACAGATGTATGCGAGTCTCTGGGTGTTCCGATAGCAGACGATGAAACAATTGGCCCGGTCCTACTAGTTAACTTACGTGTTTAGGGTTGAGTAGTGATACAAAAAAAAAACATGCAAATAAAAATACCAATAAATAAACTTGCCAACTTGAATCGTGAATTAAAGGACATCGTAATCAAACGTCGAGTGCGATTACACGAGTTAGAGTCAATTACAGGTCTAATGTCTTTTTGGTGCAAAATCCATTCCTTGTTCCAGAGCATTTTTAGGGCGTTTTATGACATCATTGCTTTATTCAAGTCGAAAGATCCTAAATATTTTTACACCATACGAGTTACGCGTTATTTTGGTTTGGCTTACATTTTTTAACTCATTTAATCGCGTATGTTTTATCTCAGATCAGGTTGGTTGTCAGATACACCCGGTAACAGTTGTTTACAGATAGTTCCGGTAACAGTGATCTCGGTAGCGGCGCCTACTTTTGTGGTCACTGGTCGCATTTGAAATGACCTAAAAATGGGCCAATCAGGACATAATGCGAGATATGACATCCCTTGAACTGATTTTTAAAAAATTTGCCCTTATTACATGGTCTTTATACCTTCAAAATAAATGTGTCATTCTTCATGTTGATAATCAAGCGTTGGTTTCTGTTATAAATAAACAATTGTCTAAATCGACAAGGGTTATGTTACTGTTAAGGCCTCTTGTATTACAATTTCTTTTGTATAATAGCCGTGTCAAGGCCGAATATATCACCTCTGTAAAAAATGATTTAGAAGATAGTCTATCACGATTTCAGGGCATTAGCCCCGTCTGCAAAAAAGATGTCAGAATCTATCCCGAATTAAAAAACAATTCCTTAGAAGCAAAGTCTTTTGTCATGTTTCGACAATCGTTTGGCATTCCAGCGGTTTGGCCACTAGAGATAGCACGTCTTATATAGTTTTCTTATTCCATTTGGGTGTATCCCACTCAACTGTAAAATGTTATATTTCTGGTCATAGTTTTCATAGCCAGATTAATAATCTTCCTGGCCCAACAAATTCATATTTGATTAAAAAGATGTTTGAAGGTTTTAAGAAATCCAAAGGTTCGACAACAGACACTCGTTTGCCAATAACCTATCAATTATTAACTAACATAATAGGGTCTCTTGGTAATGTTTGCACGATTATTTTTAAAACGAAGCTATTTGCAGCCGCCTTTTCCTTGGCCTTTGACGGTTGTTTTAGGGTTGGTGAACTCACCTTTGACCCGAGGAATGCCCACAACCACCACTTTACATTGGAAAATATTCGTTTTCCACTCGATACATTAGATATTTTTCTTGGTTCGTCAAAAACTGATCAATTCGGAAAAGGGACTCAAATAATATTAAAGGACGACATCACTTGTCCCGTTTTCTTATTATCAGACTATATTAAACAACGCCCTCCAGGCTCAGGGATTCTCTTCCGCCACTTTGATACCAGCGCTGTTACTGCCTACCAATTTTCAGCGGTATTAAAGAAGACACTAAACTTTCTGGGTATCAATCCGACTCGATATTCAGCCCATTCGTTTCGTTTCGCTTTGGCTCAGCATCATATGGGTACCAGAATGGACTCAATGCATCAGAAATAAAAGACTTAGGGCGTTGGAAGTCGCAAACCTACAAGAGGTATCTTCGATCTTATGTTGAATAATGTATCAAGTATTAGAATAAGAACAGTTTGCTTTACCAATATACTTTGATTTCAGGCTCAAATAACGTTTGGGTTGTCGGTTCTTCAATTATTAATGATGCTTTCATCGCAGCTCGGTGTCGACCAGGTGGTATTCATCTAGGTCTGAAACGAATGAATACTTATATATGGTGGCAGTTTCGTTCCGGTATGTAATGGAAGGACGTGATCCCTCGCATTGAAACCATGTTAAAATACCCCTTCCCCACCAAATTTCTCATTATACATGCATCAGGCAATGATCTCGGCGAGACAAAAGTCGACTAACCTCGCAACAACATTAAGCACACATAGTGTGAATTGAGTTTGAAATCGGGCAGCACGACTGTTATATACACAGTTAAAAATAATAAGGAAGTTTACACCAATTCGGGTGGCAACTAATTGCCACCTAAATAGGGGTTACTCCTAGGACTTAGTGGTGTAAACCGATAACACACTACTGGTGTAGAACATTACACCAATTCAGGTGAAAACTAGTTGCCACACCCAGTAGTGTAACGTGTCTGATGCACTCAGAAGACAGTGTGATGTTGCATATAAATAGTTTATAAATGGTTTGAAAATTACACGTCTATTTTAATTATTACACCAACGCGGGTGTAATTTGTTTTGTTGGATATTTATTTCAAGCCAACGACTTCTAAGTTCAGAAAACTGATAATCAGTATAGGGCATTTATCCCGACCCAATTTACATATAGACCGTCGGCTACTTAGCTTCATTTTACAGTGACATTAAATTGACAAATACCCATCAGACTGATTCAATT